GTACCTACTTCCGAAGACAAGGCCCACGCCAAGATGCCCCCCAAGGAGCATGGATCGAATCATCACCGCCGTCATCATCGTTCGAAAAGTCCCCAGAGGCATCGCCGTCACGAGAGTCCAAAAAAGAAAGATAGTAATGGGGATAAGAAACCTGCTGGTGCCAATCGTACCGGTCGAAGCCCCAGTCCAATCAACGGGGTAGCAAGGAAACAACCTCATGGTCAGAAGGATCTGGAAGAAGGACGAGGAGGAGATGACGATGATGATCTGATGGCTCTCAAGTACGTAAGAGCTAGAATGGAGACCATGGCATCTGATTCCGATGCTTCATCAGTTGGGGAGAACCAAGCCGCCATTCCTCCAGCTCTGGACGAGGATGCAGAGGCCAAAATGAAGGCTCGACCACCACCACCAGCTAATGGACAACCACAATCTGCAATAGTACCTCAACGACCCGGTGCTTACAAGGGAGCTCCCGGGGAAGGATTGCAGCGCAACAGCGACGTCCGATATTCCCGAATCAATGTACCGTTGGACTTGGGCAGCAGCAGCAAAATTGCTTCCTTCAAGAGCAGTTATACTACAACAAGTCCTCCCCATCAACAATCTTCTACCGTTTTTTCTTCTTCCATGCGAGCAGAAGAACCGGGAGCCTTGGCATCCATTCCGGACTATGACAACATTCCTCCTCCCACAGAACCCTTGACCATTCCCGCAGAAAGCAATGTCATGATTAGTGCCACATTGGTCGAGAATGAAGATGTAGTCACGGCCGAAAAGGCACCGGAAGATTTTGAAGCACTACGACAAAACAGTAAAACTAAATACGTGATGGCATGCATTCTGATGGTCCTCCTCGCTTTGGGGATCCCCATGGTGGTGGTGTTGACCACCAAGAAAACCGAAGAGATTTTGGTACGCCCCAACATTACAGTGCTGATTTGCGGGACGGCCAGCACCAATCAAGCCGACTATCGAGGACGACAGAATACCAGTGAAACGGGCATTCCCTGTCAACGATGGGTCTCACAATTTCCCAACAGCCACAATTACTCGCCCGAGAGATTCCCCGATGCCAACCTTTCCGAAAACTATTGTCGCAATCCCAATGGCGCGAGTCGGGCGTGGTGCATTGCCAACACGGCGGGAGGTCCCACGAGAAAGCTAGATTGCGACGTACCATTTTGTGATGCCATAGATGGCACGATCAATGTCAATCTTTGTGGTACCCTCCGGGGCAAACGACAATCGGACTACCGGGGAACCATCAATGTGACCAATCAAGGAGTGCCCTGTTTGCCGTGGAGTATGTGGCAATTTGCCGACCAATACGCGGGTTTGGAGGAAAACTATTGTCGCAATCCGACACAAGAGTCTGCGGCGTGGTGTTTTGCGGGCAACCAAACAACTCCGGAGGAAGTGTTCTTTAGTTACTGTCAGGTGCCACTGTGTGAAGTTTTGTATTACGAGGAACCCAAGAAAAATGTCACCGCCGAGATGGAAGAAGGTGTCGGGGGTGACGACAAGACGACTTGTGGGACACTCGCGTTGGCACAGGCTGATTACAGGGGGAACACCAACCGGACGGCATCCGGATTTGTTTGTCAGCCATGGGATGAGCAAACGCCTCATGCGCATACTATAACGCCCGACAAGTATCCTTTTTTGGGGTTGGAAGAGAATTATTGCCGCAATCCAGACGGAGAGGCGAGGACCTGGTGTTATACAATGAACCCACTCAAGCGGTGGGATTACTGTTCCATACCAGGCTGTAGCAGCGACAATTTGACACAGTGTGGAACCTACGACTGGCATCAAAGTGATTATGTTGGGACTATCAATGTCACCGAGACTGGGATTGCCTGTCAGCGTTGGGACAATCAGGATCCACACTATCACTTCAACTTGCCGGCTCTTTGGCCCGACAAGAACTTGAAAGAGAATTTCTGTAGGAATCCAACCGATGATGAAAGGGCTTGGTGTTACACTTTGGATCCAGCTGTTGTGTGGCAGGCAAGTCGAGGAAATTTCGTGTCTCGCAGATCGCAGCAACATCGCGCTGGTATACCGCTCACATACACCTTTTTTTTCTGACATATCCCAGTACTGTGATGTACCCTATTGCACTTCCGAAGAGGAACGAGCCGAGAGTTTTACTTGTGGCAGTCGGAAATCACTACAATCGGACTATCGTGGGACTGTATCTGTCACGAAAAGTGGTCGGCGTTGTCAGGATTGGTCCTCTCAATTCCCGCACAAGCATGACTTGCTACCCTCAGAACAGCCTTATTTGGAATCGAATCATTGCAGAAACCCAGGTAAGGAGCTGATGGAAGTGGTAATGGGTTTAAGGATTCTTCTCTTCAGTCCTCATACTTGCTTTGCACGATTGGAAGATGGGAATGAGCGGGCTTGGTGCTTCACTGAGGTACGAACTCTTTTGGTTCTTTCGTGTGCTTGAATGGCTACGGCATCGAAGTTTACCTCTTGAATCTTGCGCAACAGGACTTGAATCAGAGACACGAGCACTGTGCTGTTCCCTTCTGGTGAGAGAAAGTTTGTGCGGGGTCTTGGCTCGCCTTGGTCGCGAGTTGTTTGCTCAGTTTCCCCCTCAACTAACTGTGATCGTGATTCTCTGCGTGGTCAAAAGTGAGGATATCAGCGAAGCCGATCCGCAGGAAATAGACGAGGAACTTAGTTGTGGGAACTGTACAGAGTGCGGTTTAGAACAGGACAACCAGAGGACTTACAGAGGCAATATCAACGTGACAGCCTCTGGAGTGTCGTGCCAGTCTTGGTCGGCTCAGTCTCCACACATGCACAGCCGTACCCCAGATGTCTATCCTGAGGCTGGGCTGGATGGGAACAGCTGTAAGTTGGAGACGACGTGGTCCAAGAGTCTCGCCGTCTTTGCATTCTTGAGTGCATGTTCTAATGGTTTCTTGTCCTCTCGTCAGGCCGCAACCCAGACGGAGAAGATATGGCTTGGTGCTACACAACTTTGGAGGAGAGGAGGTAAGATTCGTACTCAGCCGTTTTGTGGCTAGCATCCTTGTCGATTACACCACATGATTGCACTCACCCAGCTTGATGCTATTTTGAAGATGGGCCTATTGTGCCGTTCCGTTTTGTTCATGAGTAGGGCAAACGTAGGAGACTTGACGACAACCAACCACCACGGAATAATGGTGAGCAGTGACGGCACGTTCGATACTTTGCTTCCGCGGTTGAGCGGTCGCTAGCCCACCGGGCCAACAGCACAGTGCTTTGCAATCTCTTGGGCAGGTCATAGTGACGGAAGCTGTGTTCGCCTCGTTTCTGGCTAAGTTGTCAGGTTGTGCTATTGCCGAATGACGGTCGAAGCGGGTACAGACATCGAACTGTAGCAACGTTTAAACTAAAACGAAGCCAATTGCGTGCTCCGTTCCCCCAGCCCCCTTCTCCAACAGCCTTGCCCAAGTTTTGTCTATGGGTTCTACCGGTAAGCTTTGCCTGACGCTGTGATCAATCCACAACTATTAATAGCCAAAGTAAGGTACCGGTATCACAATCGATACCACTATAAAGCTGACTGTCGCTGTCCTGCAACAATATTCTAAATTGCATAGCCTTTACAGCATCACATCCTAAAACTCAGATGGACCATCATCTGTACTCAAGGGAGAATATGAAATTAACAACCCAACATGAAAAAGGTCTCTAAGCTTGCTTCTCAGCCTTTTCTGCCGCACGAGCCTCTTCATCTTCGGCAAGAGCTTTCTGGCTCAATTCAATGCCTGCGACAACCAGAGAAATATCTGGTGCAGATCCGGCAACAACCACAGCTGCAACTGACTTGGCTTCGTGTGTAACGTTGCCATCTCCAGTGGACCAATCCTTACCATCATCCTCATCGATTATAGGGACTTCGACCTCCTCAATTGCATATCCAGCAAATTCATAGCCGGATCCTTCCAATGCATACACAGTGATGGGAAGACTCTCTGGTGGATCTTTTCGAGGAGCACGTTCAAGATACGCCAATAGGTTGGGTGCCAGCGACGAAGAGTTGGTGATGATACGGACACTTGTCCTGGTTCCTGGTACATGGCCCTCTGGGCAGTAAAGGTGGTCCGACAAAGACAACAAATCTCTTGTTTGTTCAGAGCTAGCATCAAATGCTGAAAATTCCAAACTTTCAGAGCCGGCTTCAGGCATTTTTGATGCAGCAGCCGCCTTGATCTGAAAAAGAACAGGATATAGTATCCAACAAACCACACAAAAAGAATGAGCTCCCAACTCCAATCACCAATAATCCATCAATTTTCCAACCCACCTTAAGAGGCATTGAACCAGGAGGAGTCAAGCCGGCAACTCTCAAGTCCAGCGACTTTGTGATGCGAAAAGCCGACTGTTGAAGCGGTGTCACCCCATCTTTGTTGAGGCACCAGTTGAAAGCATAAACTTGCCCTGGGTACTCATTCGGGAATGCTGAAGCTTGTCCTACACGTTTGATACTATCAGGCAGTCCCTCAGATGATGCTAAGCAGAGAAAACAGAGTACATTCAGTAGTTAGCAACGACTGCCATCCGATATCTGTGTTTAAAATTGCCTATTTAAGATATACCAATTTTCGTATTGGCAGTAGGGATCGACTTTGCACTCACTCACCAAAAGCCCTTGCTGCAGTCGATCCCAGGAGCACTCTGTTCTTCCTTGCAGACAAGCCTCTGCGGACTAGCAGTGCGGCGGATCGAGTGCTCATGGTCGCTACCAATTATTGTGAATGTTTGGAGGAGATGATGCCAACAAAAAACTGTTACATGTACTGTGGTCATCAACAGGTGCGTTGATGGCTGCATGCTTTAAAATAATGCCGCAAAGCTGCTTCAATGCTGTCATAGGTATTATACCCACGGTACGGTACCAGTACCTGGGTACCGGTAGCGGTAGCTACGCTAGAAATGGTGGATGTAAAATATGCGAACGAAGCACTCTAGGTACTCGATGATGTAGGTTACTCGATAGTGGTATTCCCTGCTCTCCACAAAATGATTCAAGTTTGCCCAAAAACTCTCATGCCTCCTCCTGTGCTCATGCAACGCGGCTGGAAGATCTACCCGCTGGCAGAGCGACTGTTGACGATTTCCGCAGCGCTCTTGGTGAACGAATGACGGGAGAATCTCTTCAGACCATTTTCAAAGACTTCCCCGAGAAAATTCTCGTCCGAGCAAGCTTCCACAAGGTCAGCTAGCGTCGTAATATCCTCGCTGGTTAGCCACTCGCAGAAAGCCTCGGGCGATGTCTTCAGCGCCTTGCTGTGTGATCGCAGAAACGAAAGGAGATCGTCCTGGCCTTCCTCTTCATTCTTCGCTGGCGTTGTGGAGCCATTGATCACCGAGGGAATGGTACTTGTGCAATTCGAAACATTGCTTCCATTTCGTGGCACGAACTTGGCATCTCTTGATTCAATCAACAACACAGCCTTGTCCACAGCTTGTTGCGTAGGTCCAGAAATGCGGACATGGCCGTTCCCGTTCACACGGATGGATGCCTTGCTTTTCTTTGACATGCTCTTGAGGCGCTGCCCTTTGGGCCCACCAAAGATGAAGCCCACCTTCGTCTTGTCGATCAACATGGTATGCTCGATCAATTTGGAAGACGAATCAGTGTCTTCCACAGACTCAGAGACCCGATGAGTACTCACAGATTCGGTCTCTGTGGAGGGAGTGGCCGGAGGATCCTTGTGTTCCTTCGGGGCCGCTTCGCTTCCAGGAATTTCGCCCTTCATCGAAGCAATATCCTCGGCAGAATGGGCGAACTTGCACTTGCCGCTCTTGTAACGCTTGCAATGCATGCCAAATCTGCACCGCTTGGCCTTCTGTGGTTTTTCTGCAGGAGTCTTCTGCATGGAAGTGGGTTGTGAGGTTTGCTCAGCCAGCTGCGTAGTTGTCTGCTCTGAAGGCTTAGCGTTGGAAGCGGAGTTGACATGGGCTTCTGCATGGACATCGTCGGGGGGGTTGCTGGGTTGAGTGGCTTGCCCCTTCTGTTCGGCAGACCGAGTGCTCTTGCGGGACTTGGGAGAACCAAAGACAGCCGATGGCACAAGGACTGTTGGCTTGGTCGCATCGGGCTTCGGCTGCTTATTCTTCGCAGTTGTTTTTGTTTTTGTTTTTGCCTCTTCAGGTTTTGGATGATTCGCAGTTTTCCCATTTTTTCGCTCGGGGGTCTTAGGGGCCGATTTGATTGCTGCTTGCGCCTCTTGAGGTTTTGGATGATTATTGGCAAGCTTTCGAGTTTCTCGCTGCGAAGCCTTGGAAGCAGATTTCGTTGCAGGCTTTGCCTCTGCGGGTTTTGGCTCCTTGCCGGGATTCTGTTTCTTTGGCGGGGGAGTTTTTGTGGCAGCGGATTTCATTGATACTGGTGGCTGCAAGTTGGAAGGTTCAGTATTTCCCGAATGAGGCGTTTCGAGAGACACGTCGATCGAAATAGGAGTCTCCGTCGTAGATTTCATCGATTCCATGCCGTGATACTGTCCATTGCTGGAAGCGTGATGATCGAGTCTGTTTGGGTTGGCGGAGCCATCTCCATTCTTGGCGCTGACGGCGGTGGTAGGAACCTTCATTTTGACGTTCTCTGATCCGCACATCCAACATAAATTGGCTTTGTTAGCGTTCAGAAAAGTACAATCATCACAAGTCCACGAATCGTCGTTGTTGTTACCAAGTGGGCCATGCTTCTTCGCTTCATCCCGCGATGTTCCGCATATCGTACATGTATTCAGATCGTTTGCATCGTAGCCTTCGTGGAGGAATGTGCAACAGTTGCAAGACCACGAGTGCGACTTCTTGTTTTTGCCGGGTGGAGGTCCCCAATTGGCGTTGCCGATTCCCGACCACTTGATGAAATTGAACCTTCGCAGCGCAATCTCTCGTCCTTCATTCAGGCGGAGAACGTAGCGTTCCCCAGAACCGATGCCCCTGCGATTTAAGGAAAGAGAAAGTGAGCAATATGTATCCAGAGCTACACCGGATTCACTGCGAAGTGTGATACTTACATGTAGTGGGCAAGCCGTCCGTTCAGAGATGGTTCGCTCTTCAAGTCTTTGATTTGCACAATTGCACCGCGTTCAAACTTCAGCCGAGCTGCTTTCTTTTCCATAGAGACGCGCTCATTCTCAAGGGCTTCACGCTTTTCACTCTCAATTATCTCGCGTCCAGCCTCTTCTGCAGCCTTGATCTCCCTTTCATCCGCACGTTCCGCCAGTGCCCCAAGCTGCTTGGCCGAGAAGATGTCATCACGGGCAGCTGCAGCGCACAACGTTGCCGCATCCACGAGTTCTAAATTGTAGGCTTTCTTGCCTTCCATGAGCAGCTGATACAAGCGGTTGGAGTCACCCGACATCTCATCTTTCAGGGTATCTTCGGAGACAGTAGCCACCCAAGCACTGCCCTCGCCGGCGCCTAGAACGTCGTAGACTGGCAGCAACAGGAGGCAAAGAGTGAGGGAAAGAACATCGCTGAATCAAGAGCGTCTCTACACATACCAGCCTGCTTGAACTTTTTCTTTGTCACGCGCTTCTCATGCTTCGCCAGGGCTCCATCCAGCTCTTCCAAAAGGGGCTTTGCCTGGACAAGCGCAGAACGAAGCGCACCCAGTGGAGTGTCAGGAGACGTCACGTTGACCCCCACTGTCCCCATGGCCTTTTCCAAATGGAATTCACAGTGCTTCGCTTTCAACGTGGCTTCCCGAAGCGTTTCGTAGCGACTCTGAGCGTTGGCGTGTGTCCCCGTTGTAGTCGACAGCTTCCGCAGCGCTCCGAGGAGCTCCATCGTACGACGCTGAGCAACTCCTTCAAACGATTTCATGTGACTCATTTGGGCTTTGAACTTGGGCGAAACGAGGTCCACAGTGGCCTCTGTCGATAGCTCCGACTCGTCAGTATCTCCAGATTCCAATTCGACGGTGAACGACCAACGAATATCCCACAAACCATGATGTGGCAGAGTCAGGTCCACCTCAATTTCGCCCGCAAGTTTCGTTGTAAAATTGTCCTTGATGATGGTCTTGTTGTATTCCCCCGTTACCTCGTTGTTGGCGTCCGCTCGTTCCCCCACGATATGAACCGACTGGCAATAGGAATTGAACTCGTACCACGAGCCTCCACGAACGCGCAAGTATACACGAATGCGACGCTCTCCCACGTTCAAAATGGCAAAACCGGGTTTACGAGGTTTCGTATGCATCAGGCCTCCTTCAATGGCCTTGGGAGCCTGGTTCCCAGGTGCATCCGAGTTCTTCTTCTTCTGCTGATGTTTTTCTACCCAAGACTTGTGCGACGAAGCAACCCACATCGTGCCGACCGAACAAACAATCTGTAACATCTGCTCCACGTACTTGTGGCGCAGTGCTACATCCGAAAGCGTATCCCGCGCTTTTGTGAGAGCTTCGAATTCCGCCTGAAACTTGTCGCCATGGCGATCAGGATGGACTTTGATCGAGGCTCGGCGGTAGTGTTTGCCGATGGCTTTGGTGACTTCTTCCGTGGCGGCATCTCGTTCCTGTTCTAGTTCCTTCATAGACCCATTGTTGGCGACGGAGCGCCAAGCCGTTTGGTGCTGTCGGACCAAGTTCTCTCGCTTGGGCTTGAACTCGGACTCCACACTGAAAAAGAGGCAACGACAAAGACGCCGGGTGAGAAACATCCAATGGAAAAGACAAAAGTAACCCGCTCCACTTACGCCGCTTGAGCTTGCTTCATTAGTTTCCCCTCATCCTTGTTCTTTTGTTTCCCCTTTTTGTTGTGATCCTTGTTGTTGTTACCGCCCATCGTTTTCTGAATGGCATCTTTCTTTTCCTTCAATGCCTTGCTCTTTTGCGTGTCCAACGCTGCCAATTCCTTTTCCTGCTTCTTCTCCAGGGCATCGACGCTCTCGCACAAGACAATCAACGAGTACTCCTTGTAAATGGTCTCCAAGAGCTCGGGCGGTGGATCTTGTAGATCCTGAACGTACGGGAGACAGGCAACGGCGTGCACCCCTGGATCCGCCTTGTGACAAACCCGACACGATCGTACTTCCACCTCGCTGTTTTGGTGGGGCACAAAGCCTTCCCCACAGCAATCGACACAGAAAATGTGGCCACAAGGAAGAACGACAGTCTTGCTGTTGCTGTCGTCGTCTTGGCTCTTGTTATCGTCCATGTCATGTTCCTTGTGACAAATGGCACAGCACTTGGTGTTGCGTGCTTCTGGTGGAACTTGCTTCTTTGGAGTGGCACCTTCCTTTGGAGCAGCATTGTTGTTGTTCTTCTTTTTGCCTTGTCGCGGTTCTTTGCCATTGTCGTTTTCCTTATCACTCGTACTGGATGCAGCGCTGTTATTGGTATTGTTGTTGTCGTTGTTTGGATCCCCCGTTCCCCACAATCGCAAATGTTCCGGCTTGACCCTGGCCTGTTTCGACTCGCGACCATTGTCACCCTTTGCGCCCTTCTTTTTCTTCTTGCCCGCATTGGCATTCCATTCGATAGTGTACTTGTCTATATGTATGTATATGTAGGTGACACGACAAAACGAGCAAGAGTGAGCAAACCATGGCATGTAAAGATGGAACATGACATCCACATGGACAACAAGAACAACAACGCACCATCATAGAAATCAATGACTCGCACTTTGATTCCATTCATTTCGGGTCGCTTGGTATTATGTGGTATGACTTCGGCCCATTCATCGAGTAGCGGCGCTTCGAGTTTCAATTCGCGTCGCAATCGTTTGTTGGATTCATCGGCAATCAGTTTCTCCACAATCTGCGATTGCTGCAATCCCTTGATGGAAATGCCCCGTCGTTGACATTCTCCCTGAAGTTGCTTGATATTCCAACTTTCAAAGAAATCTCGTCCTTCTAGTTCTGCCTTGCGTGCCTTCTCGGCCATGTAGGCGGCGTGTTCTTCCTTTTTTTGTCGGGCTCGTTCTTGTGCTTCTTGTTTGCGGCGTTGTTGTGCGGCGCAGCGTTCAAAGAAATCATCCACATTGTCATTGGCATATTGATATTGATGTTGTTGTTGTTGGTGTTGACGAGGTGAATGATGATGATGATGATGAAAGTGGTGTCCATGCCCAAATCCACCACCTCCAAACGACGGTCCACCACGATGAAAATGTGAAAAGAAGGATCGAAAGAGAATATCGTGCATATCCACCCACTCATCGTCGTCATCATAATCATCATCATAGTAATCATCATCATCATCGTCATCAAACATCATCCCATTTGGATTATCCGACGTGGCATACCGTGGTTGATTGGGCCCCGTTTGCTGGCGGGTGACGCATTGACTGAGAAAGTCATAGGCGGTGGAAATGAGATGAAAGTTTTCCTTGGCTGCCTGTGGATTGGCTAGATTCTTGTCGGGATGATGCTTGAGTGCGGCGCGTTTGAATGCCTTTTTCAAATCGGCATCTTCCAATGTCACATCCGTGGGAATGTCCAATCGTTCGCATGCTTGAATGTAGTTCATAATGAATGTATGATAGTCTTATTATGGATGGGTATAGTATGAATGTTTGTGGGTAGCTAATGGGCTGTTTATGGGTTGTTTGTGTGTTGTCGTTGTCGTGCCTTGTCTCCTCAAATAGCAATGTAGGTAGGTATCTTCCTGGCTGGATCAAGAGTTGTTGCTGTGTACACGAAGAAAAGCGAGATAAGAAGATATCAGATAAGATCAGAATCACATGAAAACTCCAACTCCCACGCTGTCGGTGTCACGCTGTCTTTGGCATCCTCTTGTCTTGTCCAGCTAATGAGCTTGACCCATGAGAAACTCACCAGTGACTTTGTTTTTCTCGCTTGTTCTCACAAATAATGATAATGAATGTATTCTCCCTGGTACCTACCCAACAAGAACAAGACAATCCAGCCAGCGAGAATCGAATCCACGCGCCAGCAATGACGGAACACAAAATCGAAGCAAAAAATGCGAGAGAGAGAGAATCCAACCAAACAAAAAGGCAAACTGTCAGGCGTGATTACTTTGCGTGGCGATCACAAGAGATAGGATAGCGCATTCCAACATGACAAGACATGCTCACCTCTAGACTGCCGCCAGTCCAAACGTGACAAGAAAAGAGTTGGTTCGTTCGGCGGTATCTGTCGATCGAGCAAATCTTCGCGTCTGCTTACTCACTTCTTCTAACACACTCTCTGCTGTGCTCTCTGGAACTCTCTTTCTCTATCTCTGCTCTGCAACACTCTCTCTTTCTGCTTCCACACGGCTGTAACTCTCTCCGTCTCAATGGATTGATATTTTTGTGTTATCCTGCCTGTCGAGTTCTTGGAATGGGTTTGGCGCTTCCGCTGTCAATTGTTTCGCCGTGATGAAAGATCTCTTTTCAAAAGATACCCATTTAGGCTACCTCGTATGTAAGATAATACGATGATCGTTCTGATTGCACTGGCAAAGTTTGGAGCTACGTAGTTAGACTAGAGTGCCACTTCGCTCGACGTTGTTGGACGATGATGCAATGAATGTTAAAAATGTTTACATAGCCCATAAGGTAAATAGCCACCACCAAAGCATGAGTAAGGAACGGCTCCACCGGACTGCTCAAAGAGGTGCTTCTGCAATTCACACCACTTGACCACTAGCTACCGTACCGGTACGTACCAGCACCGGCACGGTATCGGTAGAATGCACTTGATCAGGTGATGACGACAGGACGACAGGATGATATACCTGGTACCAGCTTACCACCACAAAAAGTTGGAGGATAGTGAGTCGAGTCGAGTCGGGGTCCAAAAGGACAAGCGGTGGTCTTGGCATACGGGTAGAACAAATAGTAGCATTGCCATATGCTCAATACTCTATGGTATAGCGTACTCATTTGAAGGGGCAACGTAGAAAACTATCCAGGCAGGCAGCAGGCTAGCTAGCTACTGGCTAGACTAGAATGAGTTTTTGAACAATGAGGTCTTGTGGTCCAAGAACACAAAGGATTATCTTATAGTAAAGGTCATAATGAGCCGTACCATTCCTTGCGATGAGTTTAGTACCGGGTTGAAATAATCATTGGCATAGAACGGAATTGACCTTGCGGCTCTCACATTTTGACCAAAATCGCCAACTTTTCTTCAATCGGAAGGCACACACGCAAAATCAACACGCAACACGAACACGAAACCAAGTTGTGTATTGACCAACGCATTCATTTATTTTATTTTAAAAACATCTTCCCAACAAGTAATAAGAGACAATCCACAAACAAACAATGGTTGGATTCTTCAATAACATAGTTTCCACATGGACTACGGTCATGTGCATGTGCAATGCCTTTCGAATACAACTCTACTGGGAAGAAGGATACATGTGGCAAGACGTCGATTACGAATTCGAGCAGTTCTGCATGATGCACACGTATCGAGGATTTCCGGGATTCGGCACTTGCTTTTACGGTACTTCCATCGGCTGGTGTCAAGACGATGCCGTCTACATTGCCAAATGCACCGGCGATCGACGTCAAAAATGGACCTTTGAGCCACTCACCAATGGAGAATTCCAAATCAAGGCACTCTCCAAGGGAACCTGCATGGAACTTATCGATGAACGACAGATCCGATTGCGAGATTGCGATCATTCCAATGCTCGACAACGATGGTACACGCCGGGAAGTACCAACGACGACGTCAAGTTTGCCATTAGTCAAGCATCTTCCAATCTGTGCATGGGGCAATTGCATCATCCCAAAAGTGGGGAAGTCATCGAAATGAACAATTGTCAAAAGTCGGAAGCACTCTCAACCTTATTTTGGGAGATTGATTGATGCAAGAACATCCAAGCAACAACACACAAACAGAAATAAATCATCCAGATAATGAAGGCAACTAGCAGTAGAAGGAAAAGTTATGTACAGATCAGATGAACAAGACAAGAAAAACAGTAGAGCATTGGTAGAGGTAACATGAGAACAAGGGTAACAACACACAGCACACACTACACGTAACAACAATTTAGAGGGCATAACGGCAAACAACAATCTGACTCATAACGAAACCAAAGCTAGTACAAGACCGGAGGATTGAACTACTAGAGAATTAGCGAGCAAAACAGGCTCTTCTTGCTGGTTAGCTTAACTGATTGTAGGGTCGATTGATTAGGTCAGTGTTTCGCAGGAACATGCCGCATCGATCGTCCCTCCGAGAGCCATCATCGGAAGAAGAAAGAACAAATGGGGATCGCTTCCAGAACACAGAGGTTCTTCATGATCTGAATGAGTTCACCCACCATCTAGGCAAATCTGAATGAGCCCACTCAACATCTTGGAAAATTGTTGACCTCTCTCTCTCTCGTTTGGGCTCTAACTTGATTGTCTAAGCCCTTTGCTGTTCTTTCGATACGCCCAGTCGCTGTATCATCGTTCAGTAGATGAGTTTTCCAATCCTCGGATCGGCAATCGTAGATTACGACCAAGCTCAAACTAGAGTGTCCTACCGGTATCAACCCCTGTTTTGTCGTTTTTTGATTTCTTGAGCGCGTTGTTTGCGATGTTCCAGTTCCTGGATACGTTCCAATCGTTCGGACCATTCGATCAAATTGGTTTGTTCCATATCGGCTTCCGACAAGACACCCCCTCGTGCCACATAGTTGCGCCAGGCTTTCAATCGTTCCTCTAATACCGTGGTGCGTTCTCGTGTGACGTGATCGACCATTTGAATGGGTCCCCGATAGGGACGTTGCGGTGCAAGGGGCCATTGTTGTCGCATGGCCAAGTGCAATCGCAAGGCAGTAATCAATTGTGGTGCTCCTCCTTGTTGTACTTGCATGGGTAATGATGAACTATTACCATAATCCAATACGGTCTGACCACCCTTTTTGCGTCGATAATTCTTGTTGGGAACGTGATGAATGGTCAAGGCACCGAATTTGTCGACGGGCAATACTTGTTGGACGTTGCAGTATTTCTTTTCGTACAATTGATAACTGGACATCCAGACCCGTTGTGTGCCCAAAAGCGGCTGTCGATTGTTTTTGCCGTATCCCGGTCGATTTTGAGGTTGATCAAATTGGCAATTTGGCAAGTCTCGCCAGGTTTGAAGGTGTTGTCGCGTGGCCAAATACATGCCTTGATGATGGTTCGTCATGTGAATGTAATATTGTCCATTTGTACTTGCAGAATTGAGTTGCGTGAGTGGAGAAGCGGCATTGGGAAGAATGGGTTTGTGTTGTGCCAATGGCCAGGAATGTTCCCAATAGACGCGAGTGACATTTTCCGTGGCATGTCGTGTCTTGTCGTTGATAATGGCCGATGGAAAGTTGTATTCGTATCGGACCAAACCAATATTGTAGAGGGTATAATCATCATTTAGAAGTGCCTGTAATGCCAGTGTTTCCTGCCAATACGTGGCCACCGTGGTGGGTGATATTCTGTGATCATCTTCGGTATAAATGAATAAATCGTAATTGTCGAGTTGTTCATAGAATAAATGACGATGAAGATCGACCAAATGCAATCGATGACTTTTGTTTTCAATGGAAAAGGTCAATTGAAATTTCTCACAAGGAAATCGGGTCCTCCACAAATCCAACCAGACTACGGGATAGACCACAGTAGTATGGACCGTCACATCGACTTGTTTGGCACCGGCCACACAGAGTTCGTGATACCCATCCAGCGTTTCTTCCAAATGAGGGACTTGGCGAAAATCAAACGAGGCAATTGCTACCAAAATCTTGAGGTGGCGCAACACGGGGCGGTCATTGGTAGTGTCTGTCAACGATGCTAATGAGTTTTTGCTGCCTCGCTGTTGTAGAAAATCCTTCTTGTGTCGAGAAGCAAAGGCATCGCTCTCTTGTTCTACCAAGGCGTGACCGTGTGAAAGCAGGGTCAGGGTATGGACTAACGCCAATCCCAACGATAAAGCCACCAGAATTTGAAGCAATGTCAGAGATCGTTTGCCACTGGCAGTGATATTTCTTGTAGGACTCTGCTGCCGTTGCTTCTGCACCTTATGTTTCGTCTTTGGAGGCATGGTACCGGTAGAGGATCATTGTCTTGATTGTGTGTCTTCCGTCTTTGGTGTGGCGGTGTGGCGGTGCTTGCAGTCAGTCCCGCCTCGACTCGACTCGGTTCTTTGGGCACTGCGAATTGCGGAACGTCCGAACCGGAATTAATAGGCATTAGGGATTAGGGTTACCAGAGAAGGGGTACTGACTAGCCAGAGTAATAAGCCTTTTGTAAATAATGACCAGCATTTCAATTTTTAAAATAGTGTTTTGTTTTCAAACTTTTTTGAAAAACAGGGTTTCATTTCAAATTGAGCACCTCGCACGATCTCGCGCGAGATCGCGCGAGATCGCACGAGATCGCACGAGGTTTTCGTGGGACTCAATTTGAAAAGAAACCTTCCTTTTTAAAAAAGTTTGAAAACAAAGCACTATTTTAAAAATTAATTAATACTCTCTGTACCAGGACTGGTACCCCACAGGCTGTCAAACAAGTTGTTTCTTGGAGGTAGTTCAGGTAGATATGGGGTAAATATCAAACTTATAATTACCAGATCTACCTGAAATCCAAAGCAAAATGTTGTGAACTTGCCCTCTAATTGAAATGATTGTTAAATCTTATGGCTTTGGAGGCGTTAAAGTACAGTACTGCACACTGCACCCAGACAGAAAATCCGCGAACGAAACAAACCTGCAACCCCTTCCATGAACCAACAAATCCACTTACTTGAGGTTCTTTGCTGTTGGCAGTCTGTGAGAGAAGGAGGGTTGCTACCAGTAGTACCTACTGTACTATCGACGCGGAATAGGGATTGGTAGACGCAGCTGCATTTGAGCACTGAAGGGAAAGAGAGTGAGAAAGAAAGATGCCCATTTGCAGTCGATGCGGAGTGGATCAACCCGACGACGCGTTCTCTGAGGAATCCCAACCACTGTGTGAATACTGCTATGAGATTGAATTGGAAGAAGAGGCGGCGGGTGGGGAAATTACAGCAGACAACAATCAGCAGCAGCAGCAGCCAGACCATGAAGAAGAAGAAGAAGACATTGAAAACCAAGGTGTCACAACAGAAGAAGAAGCAGCACCCAAAAAGGTGATTGCACTGTCCGGAGCAGCGCGTCTGTTGGATCCCCATTCGTTGGAATTAAAAGAGGACAACAATACGACAGAGACGGCTCCTCCCGACATTTCTCAGTTGGATGATTTGGTGGCAGCCATTGAATACCGTGGTTACAGTCATGGCTTTGGATTGGACAGTCCTGAAGTCCTCCACTTTCGTCTCAAACAAGTTTTGTTTGACCAAGAAAATCACGTCCTGTTCTGGTTGACACGTCCACTCGTGCAGGCGCTACTGGAAGGACCGACTTCCGATGCGTGGGAACTTCGCGTAGTACCACTCAATCTCCAAACTGTCATGGAAGGACAGTCGCTACTGCATTGGTTGGTACAGTGGAAACTGCTGCAGTTACAGTGTGGATGGAGAGGACACGACGACATGGTCGATTTACTCATTCGAGCCGGAGCTCCGGTCGATGCCACACTCGCAAATGGTTGCACGCCACTCTTTTTTGCCGTCAAGTACGCCAGTGTCGATACCGTACGACTGCTCCTACAAGCCGGTGCTGATCCAGCCCACAAGGATTGTCACAAACAAACTTGTCTCCGCAATGCTCTGCCACAAGCGTCTCCGTATATTCTACAACTACTACTACACAACCGACCGTCAATCCCCACGAAACCTTTCTCGTGACAGACGACAAGTCGCACAACGGCAAAAAGAAGAAGAAAAAGAAAAACAAGTCGTCATCCTCCAAACAAAACAAGATCCGCATTACTGCATTGGATGTCATGGTGACGGAATTTGTGACGCCGCATCCCGACGTCTCGTGGGCTACCTTGGGATTGCCGTCGGTCGAAGACTATATCGAGTGCATGCTCCTCTTACAACAACGGGGCGTTCAATTGTCGCCACACTATCCCGATGCCACCTTTTTTCTCGGACAGTACTTGCAGGGCGTTACACAGGCCACCAAACGGTTGTATTATACCCGCAAGATTGCCGATTTTTTATTTGGACAGTATCTGCCCGATGGGATTCAAGAACAAGTAGTATTGCAAAAAAGTGAACATGCAACAGCACCAGGGAGTTGTAGTGTGTGCTCTGCAGCAATCATCGACACCAAGGATGCAGACTCTTCGTTTCCCAACCAGCCACTCTCCTGTGGCCACACGCTGTGTCGAGATTGTTTCGCAAGCTGTGTGACAAAAGAAGAAGAAACAGACTGGGATTCTTTGGCCAGCCGACGGCGATGTCCAACCTGCCACAATCTACTTTGTATGGACATACTCCCTCCGACAACAACAACAACAACAATGGTAACAGCTGAGAGCAGCAAGCCAAAAAAGAAGATGAGCTTGGAGGAGAGACGACGGCAAGCCTTGTCACGACTGTCCCTAGAACAGCTTCAATTTGAGTGCGAAGCGCGAAACTTGGTCGTTGCAGAGAAGGAACGCAAGGATCATTTAATCAAATCACTCGTTCATGATTGGCAAAACTTTGTCCTGCCGCAAGGAGACGACGAAGACAATGACGACAATGATGATGACAATGCAGGTAGCCGACTCATGGCCGAGCTTACCTTGTCTCACACCTTGGTGTCTGCGGACAATTATTTGTGGGTAGCAGCTTCGAGAGGAAGCGTCATGATTCCCATTACGGTAAAAGGAATCCCCGTCTTTGCCTTGGTGTCTACCACGGCACCGTACACGGTCGTGTCGCCTCGATTTGTCAAATCCTTTGGATTCGAAATCAACCACAATCTACAAGTCGCAGTCTCCAAACCGCTCAAGTTTGTGCGCGCCCAAGAAGATGATGAACGATTGAATGACAACGGTGATGACAAACCCGTCAACCACCACATGGCTCCTCGCCGCAAGGTCCCAAGAGCCATGGCAGCCCCACAAGTCCACCTCAAAGCGGTGCGTGACTTGTCATTTACATTGGGCAACAAAAACGACGAGGACGACGACAAGACCATTGAAGTGTCCTTGCCGAGCGCCATGCAGGCGTACGAACCGCATTCGGAAGGATGGCCCGTGGGTGTCATTTTGGGATTGGACTTTTTTCAATCGGCGGCGTGGATACAAATGTCGGTAGATGTGGATCTCGAAGTCTGCCTTGGTCGAACCATTGCCTTGTTGACGGGCAATTCTGCTGGTAGTCTACTGGAGTTTGATCTGATTGAACCACGTCGTGCGGATTTTATTGAACAAGATCTTCGATATTATGCAAGGAATGGCAAAGTGTTTTGGACGCCGCTGTGGCACGTCTCCTTGTCCAACCACGACAGTTGTCTCTCGCTGGGTCAATATTTGAAGGAGCTGCTTCCCAACAAAGATAGCCGCAACAACAAACACGGCGAGAGACGGCAGTACGTGACCGAGTGCTCATGGTGTACCCGCCAGTTTCCTTTTGTTCCCAAGAACAAAAAAAGAGATTTGGTGGATTGGTTAATGTCCAATCCAGTGGATGCCGGAATGATTCAATGCAACTTGTGCTGCAGTGAGGGGAGACCAACTTTCTATTGCGACGAAAAGTGCCGGAAAAAGGCCCAGGCAACACATAGCAACCAGTTCCACGGTGGGGTGGATGTCTCAAAGTATGATAATGATGCGAAGATGCAATCATCGTCAACAAATTTGAGATGGAAGCTACTCATTCTTGGCACAGCTGTCTTGGCAGTCCTTGCGGCGACCATGTTGAGACCGGCAAGCCAGGTAATTGTGAGGAACGAAGACGTGGTCGAAGGCGAGCCAATTGCAGCCTCGTTACCACGGGGCCAAGGGGATGATTTGTAGACGAGGCCAATGCGCAGTCGTTGTAAAGGAAGAAGGAGATAGCTTGACTGCGCGCTCGGGCAATCGGGGATTAGCTACTTCCGTAAAACCTAAACGTTCAAACAGATGAAGCACACCAGGAGTGGCCACATTGAAAAATTCAATGGTGATCGTACGGGTGGTGGGCTTCGGGGTTGTTCCAACGGTACACGTAGCTACGATGGTGGGCGGAGGGCACGACAAGCACTTGGTGGGCGAGCGCACACACAGAGTTCCACTGGTTGCGAATTGCCGAAGAGCTCAAGCTAGGCGTGAGTAGAGAAACGGGACGGCTTTGGCTGGTAAACGATGGACAACAAAGTCTTTTCCTCGGGTACTAATAAGAATATATGTATTCGCTTGGTGCGCTTGTTTCGTTTTTCTGTCGTCGAGAATGGTTAGTTGCCAGACAACCGCCATTCTCTACATACTGTCAAATGCCAAACATTTGACAGTAAGCTCATATGCTTTGGCAGAATCTGAGTTGGCAATGACGTCGTCAAGGTGTTTGTCAGCTGCTCCACGGACAGATTTCTTTGCTTTCAAGTCCCTCTGCGGAGCAGCGAGTGCATTGTCGTTTTCCGCGCCAACTACAATGTGGCATGTATCCACTCCGACCAACCCCGCATCGTCTGTGGCAGTCACCCGAACACTGTAGACACGCTCCTCCATGTTCATGGTGCTGGAGTGGCAGAAGCCCTGGTCGTTCCTTTGCGTCTTGCACGTTGTAGGAATGACGAAATGTGCAACTTGAGGCTGGTCTCCCTGGATTGTCGTCTTCCCCGTACCGGTTCTAGTACGGTACAAGCCATGCAAATAATGCAATCATGTTACCCCTGCTAACCTGATAGCTACCTGTAGCTGGCTAGCTCACGCTCAAGGACTAGCAAGTATAAATCGAATAGCTCACAAGCCACAAGGGCGTTTGAATGGCCATAGCCACAGTGTAGCCAGACACAAGCCTCCCGGAAACACCGCTTGCTACCTACCTTAACAAAGCAAATGAGTCCTCAATACCAGGTTCCATATCTCCGACATTTGGGCATGCATCTACGTCCGAAAATGTTTAGTGTTGGCTTGGCTGCTGAAGCACGCGCAGCGAGTGCCTACTCGTACTTCTTTGGATGCCATCACAAAACCAGTTGACAAAAGATTGTCCTGTACGGTAGTACATTGGCCACAGCGGAGCAGACAACTCGTGCACCCTCGTAGCGCTTCAACAGCAGTGCGCCCATTCTCTGCATCTTGCACATCATCTCTGCTCACAACAATGTTAATTAATTAATCTCATTCTAGTACACTACAGTACAACACATTGGAACCAGCCTCCTCTTTCTGGGGCAACACAAATGTACAAGTGTTAGCGACACTGCCACCAAGGTCTGTTCTTCTTGAGGACCCTGTCTAGCTCTTGTTCCAGCTGCTCTTGCTGCAGCAGGGCTTCCCTTAGACGCTCTTCCACCTGTTGCACAGCAGTTGATTGAGTTGCCAGAGAATCTCGGAGAGACGCAATGGTTTCGTTTCGTTGCTGCAGTTCAGCTTCCACCCGCTCTTGGAGCGCCATGGCCTTTTCAAGGCATTCAACAGCCTCATCCCTTTCTTTCCGTACGTCCTCGACATCTGTATCCGTGGGCTGTAACACAGCCTCAACATGCTCTTGAAGATCCGCTTCCCGAGGTGCATGCACACGAGTAGATTCCGTCTGACTAGCCTTGAGGTCGGCTATAGTTTGGTTTCGTTCCTGTAAGGTAGCCTCCAACTGCTCTTGCTGTTTCATGACCGCTCCAAGACGTCCTGCTACCTGTTCTGCAACAGTTTTCTTGCCCGAAAGAGATTTCTGGAGGGAAGCAATGGTCTGGTCTTTTTCATGCAGGGTAGCCTCCAATAGCTCTTTCTCGTTCAAGATGGATCGGATCCGTGCTTCCGCCTGCTCCACATCCGTCTCTGATTGTTCTGTAGCAGCACCAGCCTCCATGGCTTCCTGAAGAGACGCAACGGTTTCATCCCGTTCCTTCAAGGTTGCCTCCAATGTCTTGATTTGTTGTTGACTCGTGGCTAATTGTTGATTGGCCTTATCACAGCTCTCTTGCAACTTGGCGTGATCTGCCTGCACCCCCACCAGCGCTTGGGACAAGGAGCGGATTGTTACTTCAGCAGAAAGTCTTGTCGACTCTTTCCTGCTGCTGTCATATGACTTTGCGGCGGTGGGAATGCCATAGTGTTCCACACTGAGTTCTGCAGAAGAATCATCCTCGCTGTTCATTGACGAATTATTCATGTCAATCGCCCGTTTCAAGGCCATGGTATTGCGCTGAATGATTTCTTCTGCTTTGGATGCCGAAGTTCGCAGCGACCCCAAGATTTTGGGTGGCAACTCCCCGACCCTTCGAGCATCGTTGGGGGGTGGGTCTCTAGTCTCATCCGGCGACCCACCCGAGAACTTGGACACCAAAAACATGGACGAATACATGCTTGCTTCTTGCTTAGCTTGTGCCCAGCGAAACTACAACCAGCGCAGCTATTAAAAATAGCTACCGGTAGCTGACGAATTAATCCAATGAAGCAAGCAAAAGAATAGATTTGTGATCTATCTGTCCAGGAGTGACAGCTTCCAGAAGGGTATCATCGCCAACTTCCTTTGGGCATTTTCCCAACGGAAGCTTTAGATTTTCAGAAATCGAATAGGGTTAAGGGTAATAGGCATGTCAAAGATCTTCGATCTTTTGTAACGCACCACTGGTGTCTTTCGCTATACATGTAGGTGGTACTGGTACTGGTACTGGTACCTCCCATTGCGGATCCAGAGCGGCACAAGACGTGTGCTCGAACCTTGGCGAAAGCAAGAGGCACTGATGTGCGAGACGTTGCCGACGCCGACGCTGGGTCTTGGAAAGCTGATGAAATTATGGAATTGTCAACTATACTGGAGGTCCCCATGGGTCTGCGGAATTTAGGATACAGTACACAGAAGATGATGTGACAGCATTGGTCGAAGGGACCTTCCCACAACACCGGGTGACCAAGATCTCGCCGCAGCAGTAGGCCGCCAGGAGTTGGAGGCTCTATTTTGGATGCACTGGATGCCAAATAAAGATCAATTAATTGCTCAACCAGGTGGACAAACAGCGGTGTGCTCGCTACACGATACAACAATAGATTGTTAAGGCCATAGTCGTCAGGGTTTTGCTTACGGCAGCTAGTGAGTACGGGAAGCACAGTTTTGTCACACAATATTGGCATTGCTGTGCACCACATGGAATCCACGAGAGAAATCGGATAACATGGAATGACACCAAGCAAGTAAGTAGGATAGAGCGTCCTACATAGCTAGCTAGATAGCTATTGTAAGAGAGTTACCGTAGCAGAGTGTGCTACATCTAACGGCATTAGTTCTTGACAAAGAGATACGAACAAGGCGGCCGATCCACCATTGGAAGTCGATGACGACTGAGAAAAGCAGCTCAGAACAGATTTCTGACGACAATAGTATGGTGCAGAATTGCCATCAGTAGCAGGTAAGACTGTCAATACCGGAGTGTTGTTCCAGAGGAATTGGATGCCAAGTCTTCAGTAAGTTATAATATAACTAGACCTCATTTCGTCAAACTGAGTGCATCGTGGCCTAAGGCAGTGCCTGCTTGGTACGCTGCTCATTCTACCCAGAGGCGTGAAAATTCCGCTACATCATGGCAATGCACCCTCCCCATCAGTTCTGTTTGCCGCTGCGAAGAGCCTTGGCACGCTGACTACCGAGAAACAGAGTAGGCAAGTCGCCGTTGGCATCCACAATTGCCCACAACAAGTAGGCACTCAAAAAGAGGGCACCGCCGACAAGGCCAACGAGCCCCAACACAAAGGCGGCCGGGGAGCCATGGTGGCGCCAAGTCAACCAAGTGGCCGACATGGTTAGGAAGCAAAAGAAATCAGTATTGAATTGCCCCGGCCAAGTGAACTGGGCCATGTCCCCGAAGAAAATTGGAAAGAGACCCCATCCATAGAGGGACACGGTCTTGGCGGTGTAGGCCGAAATGACAATAAAAATGGTTGCAAAGTATATCTGAAGACCAAGCATGATGATGGAGGATGGTGATACTAGCTAGTGTTGTTTTGTTGCGAAGGCGAAATGATTAGTGAGACAAGAGCAAGTGCTTTTAGTGGCGATCAACCAACCTGCCGCGTTTCTCGAAGGAGCTCCGAGGGCCGACGGCGGACGAATCTTCGCCGACACCAAAGATATTGCAGGTACCGGTACGTAGGATTCTGAAGATACGCCGGTAGCGAAGGCCCTGGAAGTTCTTTGCTGATCCATAATACTGTACAATATTTTCTACAGTATTCTTTGAGTGTTTTAAGTCAGCGGGAGCTGGGATACCTCGGCAGAAAGACAAATAGAAGAAAGAGGATCATGTTTGAGATTGCATCTTTCTTTCAAGGTAGCCCTGGTGACAACACCCGACTTTTTAAGGGTAATAGACAGTCAACTTGGATCTTTTGACTGTTGCGTGACTTGTAGAGCCGTACAAGGTACGGTACCGTTCTGGTAGCAGTGTGCCAATAATGAGGACCAAGAGACTATCTTGGTACCGGTACGGTAGCCACTAGAGTACTAGAGTGCTATTTATTTACTAGAGTGCGATTGAGAGTTAGATATTAGAAGATTGAGAGAAACGGAGAATCCATTCATCGGTGCAGCTGGTCTTATCCTTGCCCGATACCGGTACCCCACCTCGTCAGCAGTTAGGCGCTGTTCCGAATCTTCCCAAGTATCGTGGGTATCATGACCGAGGAAGCGATAGAAGCGTCAGGTCAACTTCCTACCGAGCAGCCACCTGAAGTAGAAGCGAATGCTGCTGCCGGTGAAAATAACAATCTATCTCCCGACGAAGAATGGCAAGATCTACTACAGCAACCACAACAACAAGAACCAACAATCCCTGCCAATATTCGTTTGGTGACGGATGAATCGGCCCTTTCGCTGTCACTGAACGCCATTCGGTTGGCAGTCTTTTGCGATAGCGTTACGGCGACTGTTTTGGACCCCAACTATGCCTTTATGGCCTATCCGAAAGCACACAAAGATTCGTTCACGAGTACAGAACCGTTTGGATTCAATGGCGCCACTTACTTTTTGGCCATGACGGCACTGCTCGGGTCGGCCATTGGTGGCACTATTACTGGCACTGTCTCGGATAGGATTGGCCGAAAGCCATGCATCCTGATTTGTCTTTTCGTTGGTGCCGTCGGTGCCATTGCCAATTACTTGGCACGCAAATCCTTTTGGGGGTTTTGTGTCGCCAATTTTGCACAAGGACTCTTTTCCGGGAGTGCCGCCGTGGCCATGGCCTATGTCAGCGATGTCAAGACCACTCGAAAGGAAAAGGACGAGGAAATTGGGATCATCGTGGCATTGGCAATGTTGGGGACCAGTGGGGGTGGAATATGTGCCATTTTGATGGAAAGTCAAGGGCTGTTTACGCCACTCTTTGTGGGTGCAGCTCTCAATGTGGTCGCCGGCATTTTTGCCGTGTATTGTGTGATTGAGCCCAAAAAGATGCTGTTTGTGGGATCTCAAACAGAGCAAGATGACGAAGACGAAGAGCAGAATGCGCCCACTGAAATCAACAAGGGGCTACTCACCAATATCATTGCCGGAGCGCTGGCAGACAACATTGGCAGCGCGGGATTGCTACCGCTTGCCATGTCCCCGTTGGCATTTACCAAGTTCTATGTGGTCTTTCTCGAACAGGACCTGGCTCCCCTCATGACTCAATCTGCCTTCAAATGGATCTCTGTCATGGTAGCGCTGACAGTGATCCCTGGTGCTGCCTTTTCACAGATTGTCTTTGACAAAATTGGAGCTGCCGGGGGTTGTGTGGCAGGAAATGTCATTACAGGCATTGTCACCATCATTTGCCTCTTTGTGGCATATATTGAACCCGCCACCAAGGGGACCTACGCAGGATTCATTATTGCCTTTTACGTTGGATTTCCCTTTACGGTTCTCAGCCAACTTTCGACGGGCCCCATGCTGGATACGATTGCTCCAGTTCATCGTCGCGGACTTATCCAGGGACTGAACATTGCCGTCATGGATTTTGCTTCCGCCATTAGTCCGTATATCTTGGGAGAAATGGCCGACAAAGTGGGTATCCGAGAAACCATGTGGACTTGCATCGGCATTAGTTTTGCGGCCGGACTCATCAATCTACCTTTAGTCTTTGTCAAGGCACTCAAAAGAGCTCCGCCTAAACCACCCAAGTACTTGAGAGCCTTAAAGGGAGAAAATGCGGACGTGGTGGAGTTGGCCATGAAGGGAGAATGGGTCCCTGCCAAGGAGTTGGATGAAATCAACGACAAACGCATGAAAAAGGGGGAACCCTGGTTGGTCATTCCGTACCGTCCGTACGAAGAAGACAAGCATCATTTGAGAGTGATGCGACAGCAAGCTCGTGGTGACTTTCTGTACCTTCGTAGCGACGTATTGGGTTATGTCAACAATCCCGAGTTTGAAGAGGAGGAGAAGCGAGAAGCGTTGGCGGCTCAATTCAGAAACTCTCGTGCTCCGCCGGAACAACGAGAAGAGCAGGCTCGAGGCTTGTCCAAGTGGTTTGCCGACTACTTGGTGGACAGTGGGTATTTCGTGGAAGACTCGCCCATCTTGTATAAGCAAATGATCATGGCAGCATTCCCGCCAATCAACAAGGACGAGGAGATCACTGCTGAGAATATGGAACAAGTCGCAGTTAATTATACCCGCGTTCTGAACAAGTACTTGGATGACAAAGATTTGACCGGGGCAAGAAAGGCATTTGCTCACAAGTATGTTAGCGTGGATTGCTAGCTAGCTGGTCTTGAAAGCTATTAATAGCGATTGGGATGCTGGATCAGGCAAGTCATTCACACATACTCCCTCCGAGAAGAGATCGTTGCAGATCTCCTTCCAAACCAGAGGAGTGACCGAGTCATTCTATTCATGCAAATATGAATAAAATGAGTACCTAGCAAGCTGTGGCTGTGTCTATCTGGCTAGCCACAGAACACGACTCTTTCCCTAATCGGGGACCAAGAAGTAGTTGGTAGCTTGTGCAGATGGCATTGCTTCAAATCATCTATCTGCTGGCTAGAAGTCACGTTGTGGATGGTTTGTAGTAGAGTTACAGTAGTTTAGCATTATAGTAATAATGGTACAGTTGTAGGAAGTTGGATGTAGGAAGTAGGAAGAGTGTATTCAGTCTAGCAGAATCTGAAAGAGCATGAATCATGCTGATAGCGTTGTGTGTTTCCCGTTCCCATGAGATGCCCCGTTTCCCATTAGTAGCAGCCAAGGATGTAGCAGCTTGGTGGCTTTTTGCTTTTGTTCCCCAATAAAAAGGTGCGTTGCGATCTATCTATGCCATGGGACACTCTTGCACGCATTGCACACGAGAGGGTTCGGCATATTCTGGTCGGACGCACTTTTGGACTGTGTTGTCGGAAGTAGTGGTGATGGATACCCATACTCCATCACCGGCTGCTAGAACATCGCCCTTGTGGTTGGTAATGTCACATCCGCATCCGCATTGGAGCATTTCCGGACAGACACCACCAGCGCAGCCACAGGCCAAATGTTCCGATGCATCTTCTACCAAGTTCTGAGGAACGCATTGGGTGGAGGACATGCCAAAATGGAATCGGTGCACTCCATGTCGGTTTTGACGACGCTTGGTGCTGGCTTTGGGCTTCTCTTGGTGGTGGTGGCTGTGTCCCAATCGTCGGGAAGAGGATTGTTGCTTTCTTGGTTGTTGCAGTTGGCTGGGATCGGTTGGTCGGTACATAAAGACACCAACATCTCCATTGGGGAGAGTGCAGGATTCAGTGTTAGCAGGACATTGTTCTGCTGCGACGAGGCTGATAGCCACGGCCAGAAGCAAAAGGATTGATCGGTAGTTCATTTTTGTGTTGTGTGGTTTGTGGTTTGTGGTTTGTGCTCTGTGGTTTCCGGGGCCAGTGAAAAAACCATCAACTTTGAAAAAGTGAGGACTGGAAAGCAGGTCCCTGTCAACCTTGGAGCTTGGAGGCAAAAGATGGGACGCTTGGTGCCACAAGCGTCCTTCACCGCCTACTAAATTACCACAGTGGGGTGCCCCTTTCGGCCAAGGTCCATCGTTTGTAATTCTTGAGCACCGGTACCCATACAACTAATACACCAGTACCACTCAAAACAACTCCCGGTCGAGCACTGTAGGTGCATACCAGCGGAGCTCCACCAGTTATGGAACACGGCAGCCGTCAGTTCTGTGCAGTCTTCTTTGGTTGTGGTCGTAAATCAGCGAACTTGCGAAAGAATCTTGTGAAATGGAGTTTTTGAATGGAATGCGTTGCCTTGTTTATAAGATTAATCAATGTATTATGTTCATATTTGGGGGTTTCCAAAGAGAGCCCCTAGCTAGCTAGCTAGACTCTAGAATAGGTAGATTATCTATGGAAGCCAGCAAGGGCCAGGCTTAATAAAAGCAAAAAAGAGGGAATATTCAGGAATAGGTTCCGTGGGATCAGGGGCGATAAATTGAGGACTGGTACTGGGGCCAAAGGGCTTGGCTTTGCAGGATCCACGGATGCGGAGACAGACATGGGCAGCTTTCACAATGGCAATAGACATGCAGGTCTGCGGGTCTGCATGAAGAACAGCATTGAATAAGAGCATGAGAATTGAGTTTTGTATATAATCTGATTTCATGTTGTTCAACTCCTTCGAACTACCGATACCGGTACAGTGTACATGTAGCATTCTTCTTGCTTCAGGTAGTTAGAGATCTCTCTGCTGTCTGAGCGAGTGACAGTCAAACCTCAAACAATATTGTATCTTAAATCCAAAGTTAAAATTACCAAAGCTCCATCAACGAAATCCGCGATTGCACTAACAATTTTCGCGAGTTGCAGGAATATCATGACTGCTCGACTCTGGCTCCTGGCTCTCTGGCTCGAGGCTCGAGGCTTAGTCTGCACAATTAATTCACAAGCTCTGCATACATCACTGCATAACTTATGGTGGGTCCTTGTTCAATCTGGGCTTTTAAATCAATCGCAGCAAGGAGAGGAAGGTGATAAAGAAAAGAAGAGCTCCCACGACACACGCAGACATATGCACGATTCTTTCGGCCAGAACAGCTCTTCAATCTTAGCTTATACGCGGATGGACTCTACTAGGTTAGCTAGCGTGGTGTGACCAGTGGGACAGTGGGACTACGCTACATGTTGTGCAATCTCCATCCGTGCTGTGCCTCGCTCTGGCTCACACCGGTAGCAAGAGGCCCCTTTGCATGCTAGCTAGTATTTGGGGTGTCACCACCCTGGGCCTCCTTTGTGCCTGATCGATCCGTCCAATACCTGTACAATAATGGTTCCTCATTTTACCCTTTTTGACTTCCCCTGGACTGGTCTGTGCTACTGTAGTAGGCTTCCAGAATAATGCCATCCGCACCAATGACTAGCCGATTATGACAGTGCCGGTAGGATGATCGTGTGGTGACCATTAATCAAATGGCTTTGCCTGACCATTCTTTGCCTTCGTCGGCTAGCTTCAAGCAATAGTTGCAAGGCAAGACTGGCTAATGCTCCGAACCAAGATAGCATCCACCAACACTTCAAGTCTTTTTGAACACAAGAGACATTGTCGAAGAAACGTTCTAATCATCGTCCATGTGAATATCCACCCTTTAGTGTAGATCTAATAGCTAGCCAGAGCCGAAGCACTCTCGCGTTAAGGTGGACACCAGTTACGGACACAACGCTGCCGTGGTTGTAGAGCCGGGAGTTGAAGTCCAGATAAATCCCGCTACGTCTGAAAAATATCTATTTTCAAACCTCGGGTGAGGTCACAGTTAGTTAGTCTAGCTAGCTAGCTAGCTAGCTACATGTAGAAGTTACAGTACACGTGTGGTTTCGACTGAGACTCGACTGGACTCGACTCGACTGTCACTCGATTCGATTCGTCGCTCGACTCGACTGACTCCGGACACCTCGCAAACGCTCCACAGCTGCCAGTTCACGTAAAGATGCCATACGGCGGTCAGCATGCTGTGAGATCGGCACACCAACTCGAAACTAATCGCGCTGAGCATTCCTAATACATCTACCAACAAAATAACTCCAGCGTGAGTTTTGTTACCACTGTTACGTTCTTACCACCGACTTCCTCCATGCAATGCAAGCAAACATACATATTCTCACAAATCAACGAGAACTGAAAGTGCTAAGCAACAAGCACCATGAAGATCCAATGTTTACTCCTTGTCGTTTTGACAATTGCCAATCTTCAGTCTTCTTCGGCTGATGTCCGGGGTGAAACTTGCACTGATGACAACGGTTGCCCCAAAGGCCACCGCTGTGGCACGGAGTCTTGTATTGAAAATGCCAGGGTTTTGAGAGGCATGGAACCAATGGATGTTGTGCAAGGCGAGGCAGCTGGTAGTGCCGATGGCGACCACCAGCCTCGGCTCAATCAGCGATCTTTGACTGGGGGTTATAAGGGTTGTCTGGGTACGCGCTGTGCACCGGGCTACAGATGTATCAAAACCGATGTATGAAATTAGTACAACGGCCCTTACCAGGCGAGAGGGCTTTGAGGGGAACGCATCGGTCCTTGCAAGTGCAAGATGGTGTGGCAGCAGCTGAAGATGAAGGTACACAAGCCGACCACGAGTTTCATATGAAGAATGCTGAGCGAATGTCGTGACAGCCAATCAACAGGGCAATGCGCAACAAGAGAACTGGCTGTGTTTTCTAGCCAGAGATGAAAGTACCGGTAGCTACTGCCATGCCTAGAGGGATAGAATAGCTCCATGTCATTGATTACATAAATGCGAAGTAGGATTTGTAGTTACGCCAATTCATGAGCATGCTACCTCGCGTAGTGGATGTAGCGTCGGTGGGGAAATGGGTGAGATCACGGTAGCGGTGCGATACCAGCACGGTGGCTTGAGAGGAACGGCTGTGGAAGGTGCCCTGGTAGATTACGGCAAAAAACGCAGCTGAAGAATCCCATGCTGTGTTTTTGTTTTGTTTTTGAACACAGAAGCTTTAGCAGCATGGCTAGATTATTTCCAACAGCAGCAACCTGCCATAAATGTTGTTAGTGTCCTTCATCATGAGACCCAGGGCAGCCATTGTCATACAGCCACTTCACTCACTTGCTATGCCCCTTCATCCCAAGGACAACCATTTTCACGGGCCCACTTTAAAACTGCCAAATGCCCATTTTGAGCAGCAAAGGAACATGTCCGTTTATCCCATGGACAACCATTTTCGCGAGCCCACTTCAGAGTTTCCAAATGTCCATTTCGAGCAGCATATTCACATGTCCGTTTATCCCATGGACAACCATTTTCACGAGCCCACTTCAGAATTTCCAAATGTCACCTTCAGCAGCACAGGCACATGTCGCTTCATTCCATGGACAACCATTTTCATGAGCCCACTTTCAGAATTCCAAATGTCCACCTTCAGCAGCACAGCACTTGTCTCTTCATTCCACGGACAACCAATTTCACGAGCCCACTTCAAGATTTCAAATGTCCATTTGCAGCAGCAAATCGGCATGTAGGTTCATCCCATGGACAACCGTTCTCTCTTAACCATTGGAGCATTTCCAGCTGTCCACTTTGAGCAGCATAGAGACATGTCACGTTAGTCCAAGGGAATCCTTGTTCACGTGCCCATTTCATGACCATAATATTTCCAACTGCGGCAATTGATCTACAAACATCATCAGGATCAGGTGTCTTATGGCTGGAATTGTCCCTGAGCCAGTATTCTGCACGTTGCTGGTTGCAGAATGCTTCACTGTACATAGTGTCGGTGATTTCTGCAGAGCGATTGGAATACCAGTTCTCCTTTACCTCCCTTGGATTTTTCGTTAGTTCAATTCTGCAGTAGTCTTTGTACAGTGATTCATCTTCTTGTTGACTGCCCCCACGAAAGCGTACTGTCCAACGACAACAAACGATAAAATCCGGCCACTCCAAATCAAATGTCAGCAAACAGAAGAGAATCGAAGGGAGGAGACATCTTCAGCTCCTTATTGTTGTTAGCACTGCTCTTATCAATATTAGCGGCAGCAGCAGCAGCAGCAGCACTAGCAATGCTATCAGAAGACATGATACTGCCTGACCCCAAAGCAATGCAAAGCCTTCGGAGCCTGTCTAAAACAAACCTTCGTCTGCAAAGCTGTCAAGATGGGATGGGACGGGTACCAGTACAGTCGTAGCCTTGCGTGGCGTGGTTTTTGCACAGAACCGGGATCATAATTGAGTCTTGTTCGGCTCCACGACCGACACCTCCCCCCCCACAACCAATTCACAGACTGTCACTCAACAGACCACAGACTTCACTCCACGGCAGCATAAAAAGAAACAGAACATCCTTTGACATACATCAAGATGGCAACAGAGACAACGACAATACCCTGGCAGCGATGCACCAATAAAAGTTGGGCAGATCGACAGCGACAGGAAGAAGCAGAGACTGAAGAAGAAGAAGAAGAACCAGAAGTAGTTTATGGGGCGTCGGACGACTTGGGGGCGACACCACGGCAGATAAAAGGAGCGTTTGCCGCCGGTGGGATTGCCGGTGCCGTGGTGGGTGCCACCGGAATTGCGGGATGTTTTGTGGGTGCTCCCGTGGCCGCCGTGGCCATTGGCGCAGGTGCTGCCATTGCCGCTGCCAAATCCGAAAAGGAAATTGGGGAAGTGGCTCGGGGTGTGGGAGATTTGGTGGCGGACAAGTCGGAATTTCTGTTGGCGAATCAAACCGTAAATCGTACCGTGGAGGGGTATTCTCGACGAGCCAATAGCGTCAATGAAAAGATGCAGAAATGCTCGGTCAGAGCCAGTCAAACAGCCAATGACCTCAACAAGAGTCTCACCAAAGGAGCTAGTGGCCTTAACCAATCTATACACAAAACAGTCCAGCGATGTTCTCTCAAAGCCAATCAAATCAAGGAACGGGCCAGTCAAGTAAAAAGTCGGGTTGCCAACACCATTGAAACGAGACGCCGACGAAGGCGCGGAGCAGGGGATGACGAAACTGTATTCCATGATTGTCTCGACGATGACGATAGCTGGGAAGACTTTCCTGAGGACTTTGAGGATGCACTGGAGGATACTTTGGAGGAAGAAGAAGAAGAGATAGAAACAGAAACTCAAGACAAATAAAAACAACAACATGCGTTTTGCAACATTACGGATTCAGAAGTTTTGTTTCCTCAATGTATCCGGATGTATTTTTGCACCTTGTAAACCAGTGGAACTGCTAGCACCAGGCGACAATCAACCCATTCTGCAACCTTTTGGTAAATGAGAGGGTTTTCTGTGGATGTTGCCTTTGGAATGAATGATGCATTATGCTAGCTATTCCATTCCTCCCGTCCACTTTTCAAAACGCCACACAATGGGGGGTGGTGACCAATTTGTCTTATTTTCGGACAACAAAACGCATTGCTAGTTCCTACCAACCGACCAACAACTGAGCGAGTCTTTCTTCGTGCTCGTGGGCATGTGGGCATACCAACAAAATAGAACTCAAAAGTCCCTAATTATTTGGTTCAGAAGAGCTCTTGAGGAGTCCCAGGTGTTTTCCACAGCCAAGTCTGCAATCCGACCACACTGGCTTCCCGAGACGGTGTGACGGCATGTACCTACATGTATCTAAGGGGTTGTTCACTGAGGTCATACCCCAGATCCCCTTGTACGCTGACAAAGCCCCTCAAAGCGATGAAAACAGATTTTCGCTTTTCGAGCACCAGAACGGTATCCAAACATTCCTTTGGCCTCGCAACCTGAATCCATCCAGAGATTCCGGTGACTGCAGTATAACCAACTACTAGGGTACCGTACAGATTAGATGTGTAAATACAAGACAATGCACCTTGGGTGGCAACTGGCTGCAAAGGTGTTTGGTCCTTTGTTTGAATTTCCAAACTCCGCTCACAACCATGCCAAGCAAGCGGGTTGGTTCCACGGTAGGCTGATAGCAGTTTGCTTGTCAGTGGCCCGTGCCGGGAAGTAAGTCGGTATGTTTCATGATCAGTTCCTTGCGTGATACCCACGCACACCTTCCGGCAGTCCGGAACACCACCAACTACTACTAGCTAGTACCGTGAGAACGCAATTGTAAGCACTCACTGAATCGTCATCGCCGGCCAAGAAGCTTCCACTCTTACTGAGTAGATAGCCATGTAGGCAAAATTTGATAACATCATGTATGTAAAAAGGGTAGCAAACACAAGGTCAGCAGCGATCGAAATGGTCGGCAGGGAAGACCAGCTCAGGGTCCAAATTGTGAGCAGATGAAAGATAAATTAGCAAATTAGCCACTGGATCTGGGCTTACTTGCTCATATGCATCTCTGCTTTCACGTAAGCAGAGGCCTAACATATTTGATCCAGTTGATCGTAGGATTTAAAGAAACCAACAAGGTCGCTCTTGCTTGGACTTAATGGTACCATCAGTGCCCAGCACATTCCTGTTTTTTGTATAGTATTTCTATAGTGCGGCAACCAGACCCAAGATTGGGTGTCTCAGATACTTTCTATTACTAGTATTAATAGTGTTCCCGCTTGATCTTGTGGAATTAAATAATCCATCAAAGTCCCTGCAAAGTATCATTGACTATCAAGCTTCAGTAGTACTTTAGAGTGTGACAGAAATGTTCATCCAACAATGCTCTGCTTGCATCAGCAAAACAGCCGTTTCTGCGGGTTCACAAAATCATCTTGCATGCCACCTCTTGCTCAAAGGGCGATTGATAACTTTAACCAGTGCTTGTATTGGCGACAGTGCTTGGAAATCCTGGACAACCTTTGGTGGTACAGCTATTACCGGTACCAGCTTTAGACCAGTTCATTAGTTAGTTTGCCTCGTCTCAAATACCCCTGGTTAGTCTAGTAGATAGGATGACTACAACTTCGACTGTTACCATGACGAACCGCCGCCCCTCCATTGCTCCCGTGGTATCTACCTACGAGAATACCATTCAGAAGAACCGCCAGTGCGGTTATGACAAGGATATCTTGGGCAACAAGAGCACGAGTCCATCCCGTTTTAACCCAGATCGACGAGCCTCAGATACCATCTATCATCTTCATCTCCGGCAACAAAAGCAGCAAGAAGATGATGACCAGATTCTCAAGACACCGGCATTGCGACGCATGACTCTGGTGGATGCCATGAGTCCCTTTCGCAGGGGTAGCATGGCCGAGGAGTCACCATCCTGGATGCACTTGAAGCAACACCGGGAAGAAGCCTTTGAAGAAATACCCTTGGACGACGAGGTATCCGGACAATACCCCAAAGTGTTATCTTGCCGAGGCAATCGACGGGTGAGCTTTGGGCCAGTAGAGATTCGGGAGTTTTCCACCAAAGAAGATGAAAACGAACCACCATCAGCAATCAAGTCACCGCGAACTCTCCCAAAAACACAACCCCAACCCAAGAAGAAACCCCAACCAAAGGCTCAAAAGACCACCAAGCCAACCAAGAAACAGCCACAATCTCCACCAGCCAAAAGAGTAGTCAAACCCCACAATGACGATGATTACTTGGAAGACGACCCAGAAATCCTAGCACTGCGAAAGCAAGTAGAAGCCCTGCAATCCAAGCTGAACCAAGTGCAAGAGTTGGAAGTCAATCAACTAGCGGCAATTGAAGATAAGAAACAGGCCGCACAGGAACGCTTTCTCAAGAAACAAACCGACAAGCTCCATGTACCCTTGGCGGGTACCGATCGCCGACAGAGCCTCGTTGCCGCCAAGCAACAAAAGGAGTTTGAGCAACTACGTCGATCCAACAAGGCACTCCGACGAAACTGTCAATTGCTGACGGCGCGCAAGATGCAGCTGGTACAGGACAATGCCAAGTTGCAAATCACCCACAGGGTGACCCGCAAATACCACAGCCGACTGGCCGTCTTTCATCAAGTCGAGGACGCGTTTTACTGTCATCTCGCCATGGTCGTACTGCCCAAGTGCTTTTCCAAGCGCAATGAATTTGACATGGAAGGAGAATTCCGGGATGGATGGATTGGAATGGAACAGCGCATTCGGGATCACTACCAGCACTGTCAAGATGAGATGGTCCAAATGATTGTGGGACGTTGCGAAGATATGGATTTGATTGAACAAGTTGTGCGCTTGAGTCTGTACCGTACCTAGTTTTGAACATAATAAACGTTAGAAAGATGACTATAGGAAGTAAGTAAGAACCACATCGCAGTTTTATCGTAGGATGAATTGTACCATGTCGGTAAATGAGGAGCTTTAAGCAACCGTTGAAGCTGCAATGAACCATTGTCCACAAGGTAAATGAATCTGGGGGGCAGGTTCAAACTCACCATGCATGCACTCTTCCTAGCTTCTTTGAACACAAGGTACACGAAACTGGGGTGGCTGGCTGTAGAAGATGTCAAGCTCGCCAGTTACTCATACCCTGTACTGTCAGCCGCTAGCTGGCTGCTTGGCCAAGTTGAGCGGCTGGGATATTGTGAATCTACCAGACCGGAAACGCAGCCAGCAAGTACCAGCTTGTTTGCAGCTTCTTCAACCTATCTAAACAGGCTAAATTTTTCCGTGGGATGTGGCCTACCAGCACTAATAGCGCCAGTAGACTGCTGGATTCTATGAATTGCTTATTTGCTGCGTTCAAATTCAATGCAGATACCATCTCTCTCTCTCAAGAGATGATTCCTTGTGGCAAAGCTACCCCAATCATGGTATCTCGAGTCACCAACTGTCTCAATTCTTCTTCTGTCCAATCCTCTGTGCCTGGTGGTCGAGGTGGTAAGACAAGGTATCGAAGATCGGCAGTACTGTCATGAACCCGAATCTTCCATTGGTCTGGAGGCAACTCCAACCCAAAGGAATCCTGCAGCATGGCTCTAGGTTCTCGCACGGCCCGTGCCCGGAAGGATCTCGATTTGTACCATTTCGGAGACAGCCCCAACAACGACAGCGGATAGCAACTACACAATGTGCAAGTGATGAGATTGTGCACTCCTGGCTGGGTCGCAGACGGCAATTCCGACTTTACGACTTTGAGTTTGGTGGGCGCTGTGGCGTTGATGGTTTGGATGTTGAATTCCATGGCAGCCGCCGCCGCATCTTCTAGCAGCCTTGCTTCAAAGTCCGAATCCATCCAAGCCTTGACCACCAACGTCGTTCCATCACCTCGCAACCGCAGAGATTCCATGGCATCAATGAGCTTCCGAAGATCTGTTTGTAGATTGGGACCCAAGCGTTCTGGCTTGGACAGCAGGGCAATCAATGCAGCCGATAAGCGATCTCCGACGACAGCTTCCGAGCTGTCATTATTATTTTTTTGATCAATACCACCAGTACCGGTACCAGCACTGCTGCACATGATGCGAGCTTCCAAGTCGACGGCCTGTTGTTCCAATTCGGCACGGGGTAGATGCTCGTGGTCATGATCGTGATCGTGATTGTGGTGGTGATGGTGATGATGGTCACTGCTGGGGGAATGGCTGTCATGAAGAGCATTGGTAGGATCCATCTCCCAATTCGTTACCTTGTCATCCTGGGAACTTTCGCAGAGCCAATTTTCGTATATTTCCACCGTGACGGTGTCAGACTCTTCCATACTATCATCCGAGTGGGTGTTGCTATTCAATCCTTGTCCCTCTGGCCAGACATCTTGTTGACGAAACTTCACACGGTACAAGTGGTCCTTGCGTTCGACCTTGCTGTCCTCGTTGTCGTTGTTGACCAAAATCATACTTTGGAACGCTTTGTAGGACGGATCTGCGAACCTGCCTTCGTACGAGTCCACCACTCCCGCTACTCCAAAGATGTAACCGGGACTTCTCAAATGTGGTTTTCGCCATCGGGCCATGGATTGTTCTGGTTTGACTCTGACGCGCTGTCCAATGGAAAATGCCGGATTGTCAGATGCAGTAGAGTCATCCAAAGATTGACCTGCTAGCAGTTCGTCATCCAGTTCACTGTAGGATATCACGCCTCGTTCAATCAATCCCAATGCCATGGCGGTGGACCATTTGCAATAGTAGGATCGTGCAATGTAATGCGGCGCCGACATGCTTTCAATGTGGCGTCGCAACTCGTCCGTGACAAAATAGCCATTTTGAATGAGCACAATCAACAAGGCATGAGTTTCCTGCTCCCAGTCCGTCAAGGTGGGATCGCTCAAGTCGATTGTTTCGCCCATTAACGCTTGCAACCCTCCCACGTCGTGGACGCCTCCCAGTCCAGGCTGTCCGGCACCTTCATCGATGGGTGCAAACGACGAAAAGGCCGCTGATGACTTTCCCGTCCAGGTGGAAAGAGCTCCACCGGTAATAGAAAGATTGGCAGTTTTTGACAGAGTCTTGGGATGGTACCACCGGACAATGGCGTTGCCAAGAAGTTTCTTATTGCGAGGAACCCTCCATGCAGTGGCTGCCGTCAACCTCGTCCATTTGGTCATGGTTAAAACTCAAATACTCCCTCCGTCTCGAACTCTCTCTTTGTGTGACCAAAGCAAGTAGAACGACAGGACAATGCACTACTCGTATCGTGGAACCACAGCAACTACTACAACAATGTACCTGAAGAAGTAGAGGGTAGCACTGGTACGACCTGGTACGGCTGTACTTATTTTTTGATCCTGATGAGATGCAACAAACAAACAAAGAAGTGATGGCTGGATCTTTTGGAAACTAAGAATCGAATGGATCTTTGGATCTTTGGAGATCCTCGAACGTAACTTCAACCCTATTGACTTTCCAATTCCCGCGATCTTTGAGGCTCACTTCACCTTCGCAAAAGATCTTTTTGCGCCGTGGACAAATAATTGAGGACAATGAGCAGAACGCAACGGCCCTCGGATTCAAAAAACCTCCCTGCAACATTTTCATTGTATCCTTCATCACTCAGCCGGAAACCCCAAGGAAGCTTTCAGCAAAATGTATGTATGTTCGTAGGCAACGTGGATGGCATGGCGGTGATTGAAACCGAATCGAATCAATCATTCTGCGGGGGCAGAAGAGGTTCTTCAGAGCAAATTGTGAGCCACCTGGATCCTCATAATGTTTTCGTTCAGGGTGTGAAAAAAGTTGACAATCAACCGAAAGACGAGTGGTGAGCAAGGATAGAGTGCAGTCCTGGAAACATGGAATTGTTCTAATGTTTTCTACTAGCTAGAATCAATCCAGCCAGTTTTCCAATAGTCGCTCTTCGTTTCTTTTTATGCCATTGTTCCGTAGTGGAATGGGGTGTATCTAATACCGTGCCTGTGTCAATTCCGCTTGCTCTGAATCAATGGACCTTGACATCTCATGAAACGAGAAAGCCAAACTCGTCCAGTGCGATAGATAGGCAACAAACAAGCGATAGGGCAGGGACGACACGAATCTGGAAAGCGGCCCGGCAAAATTCAAATTCAGGCCAGGGAGCGGTAAACGAGGATACCAAGACATCCATCCAGGAGTGAGTCGAGTCGAGTCCACTCGTTTGGAAGAGTATCTGTGTGGGAAATCATTAACCAGAAGAAGATCCCCATGGCAATGTCTTTTTCTTTTCAGCTACGACATGATCCCCACCTCGTTTGGATGGGATAACTAGTCTAAACTAACTGTGCGACGAAGAGATGGATAAAGCCATTGACGAACCTCTGGTAGAGATTTCATTCCCTCCTTGGAAGAGTAGTTCTTCGGGCCACGGAAGTTTCATGTAGGGCAATCGATTTGATTGGGAAAGATAACCATGGAATCTATAATGGAATGTTTATTTGCCAAGAGGTGACAGTACTCGTTTGTTTATGAATGGAAGAAAAGGTGGTTCAGTATGGACATGCAGACAGGCAGGCCGATTTTAACTAGGAGGAGTGATCTTGTGCCTTGTCGTCCACCACCACCAAATGGTGTGATTTCAACATTCCAAATGCTGAACCACCGACCAAGTTGACAACGAAATGTAGGTAGTGAGGTAGGTATGTATGTAGTGAGCCTTGACTTTGTGCCAGCATAGCGTATAATATATTGCTGGTGCAATCATGCACTGCAATAATTTTAAAAGGGAGGATTCGTCACGGTTCATACTCTTGTATGGTCTCCAGGACGACAAATCTCCGTCTTGGTATGGGTATACGGATGGACACGTCCTGACGCCTTGATGATCCACTACTACTACTGGTGTGATGCTTGGGTAGCAGCGAATCTTTCATTCCATTCTCCTCATCGTCGTCTGCAAACAATATTGTGAGCAGAACGGCACTGACCACCAGAAATGCCAATAATAACAGTGGAACCACCATGGTACCATTCAGAAACTCGGGTCTCGTGGTTACCCATTGTATATCCTCGTCATGATGCTCGGCAAATATCGAGTGAGGATCTTGAGGAATAGCCACAATGTCTTGCAGAGAAAAAGACACTTGCGAAGCCGTAATGGACGATGACGGTATCTCTTCGTCTGCCTGGCTACCTTGCCCCATGCACACGGCGAGAAAGGCAAGGGATTCCATGGTTCTGTTGGATATTAATGGAATTGTCATTGTTGAACACTAACTAACTATCTACTCAGCAGCAGCTGGCAACAATAACGCCAGTGGAGGAATCCAACCTTCCTGTTGTCCTGTGGTGTAAAGTCGAGGCGAGTCGAGGCCAATACCACATCAGACTTTCATGGCGATGGCTGGCAAGTAGCGTCCAAGCAACTCCGCAACAACCAAGCAAAGAAGGAGGGCGCGTGGACGGTGGATCATCACCTTTTTGGAATCCAAAAAGAGACTCCAAGATCGCCAGGCATCTTTCTCAGATCCATCCTACTCGAGTATACACAGTCCGGACTATTTATTTATTTGGTTGGGCGTTATTAACCAGCGGCAGACACAATGCTTGAGTTTTGGCAGGGTATCTACCAAAGATCCTACAGCCTCAGCTACGTGCACCTTGCCTACACCGGAAATGCTTTTACACGAGGTTTCAGGTAGCTTACCGTGTACCGTAGCCTAGCTTGGTAGCAACCCATTAACCTCACTGCGTAATTAGACATCGGAACGGTAGCTTTCGAAATGAACAACAAAACTAAGCTCTGATGCCAGGTGCTACCTTTAAGTAAAAATATCAATTCTAAATCTCTCGCAGTTTTAAATTCAATAGTGGTTAAAAGATCCCAATCTTGTCAGCTCTCAAATCAACAGCAGTTTCATGAGAGATTTAGTAGGGAGAAGAAGACGAGTGGTGGGAGAACACCTCAGGCGGTTCAGATTCAGATTTCAATCCCCTTCCAACAAACACAAAATAGGCCGGCGAAGCGGAAGTCTATAGACGTGTGGCTAGGCAGCTCGCCACTAGCTGGCTTTGGTTCCAGCATCCCATGGCAACGACCAGCTCGGGGAGCCAATACCGTTGTCGAAAGGAAACATTGCTTCCCTCGTCGTCTTCCCGCCTGCAGAAATCCCGCAAGCTGATGGTGGCTTCAGGATCATGGCGATCATGCTTACCTTGCTTTGTTCAATTGAGTTGGCCAGCCACAGATCGAAAATGCTACAGGTTATCCTCCCCTACCAGCACTAGGCAGCAAACCAGCAAGAAGTACCGGTACTGCCTTGTAGGCCCAGCTAAGCCAAAGGTCATCATCATCATTGGAAAGACACTGTGACTCCACCTTTAGAATACCGCCCACAGCAGAGCCTCCTGCAAAAAATAGTCTTGGGATTGCTCACAGCCAGTCGGCGCTTCCTCCCCCGTCTGGCTCCTCTTTGTTCCCATCGCCCTAGCTAGCTACTAGCTACAGATGGCATTCAGACATCGCGCCGTAGTCGTAATACATGTTCCGAGCTGGTTTTATGGCTTGTGACAGGTTCGCAGACATGCCACCTAATGAGACGAATGGCACCCTGTCCAACGTCCAACCTCAGGCGCTGTAGAACTCGGTACAAATAAGGCACCTGAGCGCACCCCGTTGACTGTCACTCCGCCCAGTCGTTCACGTACCACCTACATGTACTACAGTAGCTAGCTAGACCTCTATCACCCACCCGCTTGCTCCAGAGACAGGAGAAATAAGCAAGACAAGAAACAGCTTGTAATAACACTTTAGCTCACACCAAGCAAAATGGCCAATCACAGCGCAATCTTGTTTGCCTTCGCTGGCTCTAATGCTTGTCGTGGTGTCACTAAGTCTTCCAATAACACGCTTCCCTTGTCCTTATATCCATTCCAATGCCTTTTGATCGCTCTGGTCGGCACACCTTCCTGATGATAGCCAAGATGGTGTCTTGGCTGGTCTTGATCCCCCAGGCTTCCTTGGCTCAAGTTTGAGGCGAACCGGAGTTATTCTAGCATCACCTTTGGCATTCAAAGCAAATTGGTTGGGCGGATGGCGGCCGTCCTCCCTAAGGTTCGATGACCGTTATGGCAGCTCACAAATCTTTTTATGATCCAGTGGATCTACCGCCAGCATAGCGTGGGGGATTTGGGTACTTAGGAAAGCAGCGCTTTGGATACGGGAAGGGCTTGTCGTACCGCGACCTCTCGAGCAAGCTGTGGTGGTACACGTCCGAAAACGTAGCGAATGCAATATTTTTTGTTTTTGTCACTGAACAAGCAAGGAAGCAAGGAAGAGTAAAAGCAGCACTGGTATCTTGCTTGCTCTGCTTGCATGCCACCACCAGAGCAACATCAATCTGGGAGTAACAGTCTTGTTCTTCTGATAACAAGGAGTGTGTGCCAGGACACTGGATCCTCACTCACTCAGTTCCTTGCAGTTCGTAGTTAGTCATGGTGTTATTGATGGTGTACCTTCATAAAATGCTGCTGTTACTAAACCAGCAACAAACGATGATTACACGCAATCGAAGAGCATCTAGCTTCCTGTTCATCTGTGTACTGTTATTACTAAAGGTAGAAGGGTATACCCCCGAAGCAGAGAAATTCGACGCTCCTTCGTTGAGTATACGGGGAGCTCTCAAGGCAGCGCTGGATCATGATTATGAAGATGTGATTGTGATGCAAACAGAAATGGCGTGGGGAGCACAAGAAATGAAGAGATATAAAGCACACAAGGGCGAATGGCCAGTACGGTCGGCTCTGAAGGACGACAATGAACTTGGTGGTGGTGGTGGAGGAGGAGGCGGTACTAGTAGCAGCGCAGTTGGTGGAGTGCCTGGATTCTTCCGAGGTACGGAATCACCACCAACCAACGAAGAAGGGGAAATTGACTATTGGGCATATCTGGTATCGATCTTCTGAGCTATTAACAACAACGGTCTGCTGATATGATGCCAGCAACTGAGAGGGGATAGTACAATTACTTGGGTTCATCATTGCGTTCTGTTAAAACGCAACACTGAACCAACCATCGGCAAACAAGCAAGAGGTATCCACAGAGGATATCCGAGTTGAGTTATATCTGTGCTACTGAGTGAAGCTAAGATGATCTGCAAGCCATACCGTAGACTACACTCTGGGTGGCCTTGAAATCGGTGGCAAAAGATTCCCGGATACAACTAACTGGACGTGCCGACTCATCCTTCATAACACTATGCAAAGAGGGAGGGGCTACATTCTGGCTTCAGGCTGGAACTACACATACATGATAACGCTATTGTTTTAAGATGTAGACTAGATCATTTTTGCAAAGTTTCTGTTATCCATCATCTGCATTAGCCGTCAACTAGCTAGGTCTACTGGTGCTTTCTGGATAGACCATGCTTTTACCTGGATGGGCCATATTAGTACAGCCGCCAAAAATCTCTCGACAATGGTAGCCGGTTGGCCTGTCCCGTCGGCTTCTCAATCCGTGAGACACCTCACCCAATCGTTTGCGATGCTACCGGGACATGGAAACTTTGCATTGGTGGCAAAGGTGAACCTCCTCGAGCACCTCCGAGCAGGATCGACCAGTCGGCTTCTCGCGTCTGCATGCCATGATGAACACATCACCCAGCAAAAGTTGGGCTAGCCAGAGGTACCAGTACCAATAGCCATAGTAGTACCAGCGGCCAGTGTTATTGAGGCAGCAGCAGCCTTGAAATAGCTCTCAAAATGCAATCAAGAAGCCGTTGTAGGCAATTCAAGGATAGGCCAGAACCTGGGCTCTCTGTCGTCATCATTCAAAATCTAGCTAGAACATGATGCTGCATGGCTTGCCTTGGTATAGTTCTGCTAGCTGAGCTACGGTTGGAAAGCTGGTACCTGCCTAAAACCCAGTGCCTCGGAAGCCGTGAACTTGAATGGTTATAGCCTGCTCGTCGGATACCAGGCCGACACAGAAAGGAACAAAACACACTCACACACCTGCTTGCCGGAGCCGATTGCAACATCGCAACCTCCCTCGTCCCAAGGAGTTGAAAGCAAATTTGGTAAAGCAGCTAAGCTGTCAACTATTGTTTTGTCATCAAAGGCAGGTTGGACGTGACGTCATCGAAAGGACTCCCACGAGAAACAGTCATTTCACAATGACCAATTGATCGTGAGTCAAACGGTTACCACCAAGCAATGGACGGCTGTGAACCCCTTTGTTTGGAAACCAGCCAACCCGCAATGGCGCTTGGTCACAAACGCCACTTGTCAATTCACTTCCTTGTTGTTTGCAAGCTTCGCTAGCTGGAGCACTCTTGAACGGTACGTCTCACCATACCCTTGCTTCCTTGCTGTTCCTCGCCACTTCTGTTGGTATCCTCCTTTCGTCTCCTTCTTTCTCACAACTCTATCACTATCTCTTGCGATCCTCAGGTCTTCCCTCCACGCTACCCACCAATCAATCCATTAATTCAACAATCATGTCCGCCACCCCCGAGAAGGAAGGTTTCAATGAGGTTCTGATTGAACCCCTCAAAGAGTTTGCCAGAGACTCCATGCATCTGGTCAAGAAATGTACCAAGCCAGACCGAAAGGAATTCATGAGAATTGCTCAAGCCACTGGCATTGGCTTTTTCATTATGGGTTTTATTGGATTCTTTGTCAAACTGGTTCACATCCCAATCAACAATATTCTTGTGGGGAATTAATCAATTGATAAAAAATCAAGGAAGAATACTCGTTTGATTGAGGCAAGATGGAGATTGGCGGCAACGAATGATGTGATACTGTACCAGCTCAAAAGGTTGAGCAATAAAATGCAAGAACTAAGCAATAATAAGCAAATATGAATTCATGCTTCTAAACATTGAAGGGCGTGCTCTATTGGATGCAAAGAGGCGCCTAGTTGTGAAATATTCTAGCCAAGTTCAACGATGCAGCGCAGAACGGAGCCTTTGCGAGGTGTTGGAAAGTTCACACGGATTCATAGCTCGAATATCGTACGTACAATTGGCCAACGTTTCTGCTCTAGGTACGGTACCTGCCACCTGCCAGTACCGGTAGGCTAAGAAAGGCTAAAATCACGCAGCAGCCGAAGGCCGAGGCGTCTTTATCGGCTATCGATCCAAGCTTTCCCACAAGCGGCCGAGCTTGTTCAACCGCGTGGTCGGGATTCCGCCATTCCTTCGCAAACTTTGGCGCATTCCATGCACCCACACTGAAACATTCCTCTAATCAACCAACTGCTTTCTTATTCACAGTGTGTTTTTTCAGAGCTCACACTGATAGGACCTACCCCAGGCTGGTGCCAAAAAGTTGCTGGGGAATGCCAACTGCGGGCTCGTATTAACGGACTGCTGGATGTATGTAGTCCAAGCTAGCTAGGCCAAGGGCTTGCAGCATCCCAGACAAACACCAGTTCTACCATCTCACTGCCCCAGATAGAGAACGCTCTGAGTTCTACTACATGTACTTGTATCTGGATTTTCGTAGGAGATGTGACTACATGGCATTCGTATCATACCGTACGTGACTGTGTGCAGCTGTTAGCGATGCCCTTGATTAATGCTCTGAGTACCGTACCGTACTCCACTAGTACTGTACTTTTTCTTGTCTGGCAGCACGAGGATCGACCATGCATGCATGGGGCGACATTATTATCACTCCCCAGACCAAACTTCGGCAGCATGTCTTCTGATAGTGTTGCTACCAGTGCTGTTGCTAGTACTGCTGCTGCCGCTACTAACGATAATAGCAGTGCTAGCAACAAAAAGAAACAGAAGATGTCTCCTCCCTTCGATTCTCTTCTGTTTGCTGACGATTTGATTTGGTGTGGCCAGATTCTAAATTTTGTGGGTGTTGGACAGTACGCTTTTGTGGGGGCGGTCAACAAGAAGATGAATCAGCTGTACAAAGACTACTGCAGAATGGAGCTACTGAAAAATCCAAGGAAGGTAAAGGATAACTGGCACTCCAGTCGCTCTGCAGAAATCACCGACACTCTTTACAGCGAAGTGTTTTGTAACGAGCAACGTGCAGAATACTGGGACAGGGACAATTCTAGCCATAAGGCACCTGATGACGATGATGTTTGTGCTTCAATTGCCACAGTTGGAAATATAATTGTCATGAAATGGGCACGCCAACAAGGATTCCCTTGGGATGAGTTGACATGTGGCTATGCTGCTCAAAATGGACGGCTGGAAATGCTCCAATGGTTACAAGAGAATGACTGTCCATGGAATGAAACTACATGTGGGCATGCTGCTAAAAATGGACATTTGGAGGTTCTAAAGTGGGCTCGTGATAAAGGTTGTCCATGGGATCCACGTACATGCCAGTTTGCCGCTCAAAATGGACATTTGGCAGTTTTAAAGTGGGCTCATGAAAATGGCTGTCCATGGAATGCATGGACATGTGCTAAAGCTGCTAAAAGTGGACATCTGGAAATTCTAAGTGGGTCTGAAATGTTGTCCATGGAATGCAACTACATGTGACTGTGCTGCTCAATTTGGACATTTGGCAGTATAAAGTGGGCTCGTGAAATGGTTGTCCATGGGATGAACGGACATGCTCATGTGCTGCTGCAAATGGACATTTGGAAATTCTAATGTGGGCTCGTGCAAATGGTTGTACATGGAATGCAAATACATGTACAATGCTGCTCAATTTGGACATTTCACAGTTTTAAAGTGGGCTCGTGAAATGGTTGTCCATGGGATGAATGGACATGCTCATGTGCTGCTGCAAATGGACATTTGGAAATTCTAATGTGGGCTCGTGCAAATGGTTGTACATGAATGCAAATACATGTACCATGCTGCTCAATTTGGACATTTCACAGTTTTAAAGTGGCTCGTGAAAATGGTTGTCATGGGATGAAGGACATATCAAGCTGCCACAATGAGAAAAATGATCCGGTGGCTGCGCGACAATGGCTGCCCTGGGTCTCATGATGAAGGACATTAACAACATTTATGGGCTCCTGTTGCGAAATCCTATGTGTTCAAAACCAAAAAGAGATGGCATCCTCGCCAAATTCTCTTGTAATTCTTTGCTCAGCTCTTGCTACTGTCAATGCCAACACATTTGAATCTCTTACTCCCAAATGATGTGTTTCTCTCCAACTCTCAATTGCCCTTGTTAAGCCACTCATTTATGTCTCGGTGGGTCCTGCACAGTCGGCCCTTTGGTCCCCAACATGTCGCCCCTGATACCACTGGAGCCATTGCCAGACACCCTTCTTTGCTTCAGCCCCCCCCCCCCCACTGGCTTCTGTAGATATTTATTATTATTATAACTGACCCCCTGACAATGACATTCCATTAAATCTTTGGTCCAAGCAATGATGAGAATAGCCCTCTTTTCAAAGTTGGCTTCAGCTGGAGAGGTCAGACTTGGATATCCATTTGTGAGGCCAATTGAGACGTCCGTGTTGTCTCTTCCTCCAGATTGTATCTTCACCTCTCTCTTGTCTTTGTCATTAGTGCCAGTATCCTAACAAATTGCCTTCATCTTTACTGGCAACCTTGAAAGCATGGGATGTTGCGGAGATCCGTTGCCGTCAGAGCACCAAACAGCCTCCTCGTACTTCTGCGCCAAGCGCGGAGGAACGACAGCGATGTTGATAATGGGCAGTAAGATGACGAAATAGGTGCTGAGCAACGTTGCTTTGTCATGGTCTCATATCTTTGCACTCTTGATTATAGCGTTGGCGGCGTTGTTGGCGCCCATGGCGTATTTTTTCGTGGCAGCAGGCGGCAGTGGCGACGAGTGCTCTGCCTCTTGCTTTGGGCAGACCGACAAATGCTGCGTCAAGGGCGGTGGATCCATTTGTGCGGGTCGATGCTACTGTACAGAAGATGACAAGGATGGTTACTGGTGTGAAGATCCCAGCAAAATCGGTGCCGGTGGCATTCTCATTGCCTTGGCTATTTTGCTTCTTTTCTTGGCGTGCTTTGGATGCCTCGTTCGGCACGGCTACAATCAAGACAAGGAAGAATTTGAAGCCTACCACCGACGCTTGGCGGAAGCAAACGACACCACAAACGGCAACGTTGACAATAATGATGCCAGCGCCAAGGAGAAAACAGAGCCAACCGAAGCGACCGACAGAGAACCAACTGAACACGATGCAACAGCAACAGCACCGGCACCGGCATCAGCAAAGCCTGCAACAGCCAGGAGCAAATCAAACCAGCAAGTCCCGAATCAACCTAAGCCCCTGGAAGGGAAAATGGCATCTCAATACAATATGAAATGGTCTGATGCCAAGAGCTCCCTTGGCAAGGCGAGAGAAATGTTTGGTGGATCCATCGACAACCAGGAAGCCCTTATGGATGCAGCTTACCAAATTCACATGAGTCGTCAAGCGTCCAATCACAATTCGAGCCGAACCACCCCCGAACCGAGAAATTCGGCAAGAAAAATCGAGGCGCCAGTCGCCGCGGATGTTGGCTACACAGAAGGCTCGGTTTTGTATGCCTAGCTAGCTAGTCGGCTAGGTGGCTCCTCCGCGTCCAACCATTAGTTGCCCACGCCCCGATCATTTGGGTGGGATGGGCTGGATGAAAATCAAATAGGTGTTGACTTGCATGATATGGCTCGCAAAGTCTTGATCACAACTTCCCAGTACTAGATACTTACGTAACCCAAATCACTACAATGCACGAAACCCGCACTTTTTTGTTTGTCTCCGTTCTTCAATTGATGGTTTTCCTTCCGGGGCATGCTCTCGCGCCTCGGTGCCTCCAACAATGGATCCCAACAGGCACGCACGCATCTTCATCGACTGTCACTCGACTCTCGGCTCGAGTCCGTCGGAGATGAGCACTAGCTAGCTAGAGCACTCACATTTAGTAATTTACGAGAGATTCGATTCGTTGTCAGCAGGCGAAGTAGACTTCCACGTTGTGACTCCACCTTCCACTTCTCATTCCACGCTGTGCTCTGCCCTGGTGTACCGCTCCAGTAAAAGCTATTTCTTGCTGCTACTGGTACGGTATTGACTTAAAGCATCGTACCCTTCGCCTTGAACTTGTCTTCATTGATATATTGATGCTTCTTGCCTCCTAATACGCACTTTCCACAAGTTTCTAAACTAACCATTGAGAAGCCTTGCATCTGCCATGTTCGATAAGCACAAAGTGGCGACGCTGTGCTCAGTTGCTTCTTTCTTGGAAGCTGTTTAGATCTTTGCTACCGGTAGTTGTTTAGAGGTCTCGCTTCTGCCAAAATTGGGTCTGAGCTCTCACTACCTGTATCTCGGGCACACGTTTCGTCCATACAGGTAGACTGTGAGATCTTCACACGATAAGTTCTTGAATCGATATCTTGTGGGCTACTCGAGAGCTACTTTCAGTGACCTACAACATCAGCTCATGTGGACTAGCCTGTGACTGTGCCTATGGTGCTAGAACTAGAAGGCACCCCAAGTTGGGCTTTGAAGCAGCATTACTAGTGTTATTGCTCTAAAGCTCACTTGGAGTAAAAGAACAAAAGTGAGGAATGAATCGGGGCTGCAGAGGTGCATGCGCCCTTTTCGCGCGAAGCTTCACTACATATTTTGGTCATCACAAAGCTCATCACAACCTGTTATTATTTTAGTCTAGCTTTTGCTTTCTTGCTTTTGGCTTCATCACACGAAACAAACCAACAGCAACAGCAACATCCAAAAGAGATGAGACGAACAACCATGACGAGCGGCAAGAGTTCTGTAATCCTGCTGCGGGGTTTTCTTTGGGTCGTTTGGATGGCTACTCCTAGTAGTAGAGCATTCTTGACGGAATCTCCTGCCCCCACTGTGACCGAGTTGTTTGACCGGATTGACCAATCCTTGAACTTGCTGGTGGACAATGCCAATAATGACACGCTGCATGTCTCTCGTGTCCAAGCCCAATATCACGATGACTTTGGGTTTCCCGAGCAGATTGTGATTGACTACCAACGGCCAGAAGCTGAAATGATGACGAGAGCATTTGTCCTGTCGCTCAATGACAATGTCTATCTGGCAACGGTGACCAATTTGAGGACGGGAGAAGGCACCTCCATTATACCATCCAGTAGTTCCAGTGGGGGAGGAATTGCCATGGACGGATTACCCAGTCATCATCTCCAACTGTTGAAACTGGCGCACGCCAAGACGTTGTGGAATGCCTCCGAGGTGGTTGACTACACGTTCGACTACAATGTCCACTACGATGGTCTGCCAGGCCATACAGCAGCCACGTCTTCCATCAAAATCAATCGACAAGATACACCCTATCCGTGGCAAGTGACTGTTCGGAATGGTATTGTACAGTCCGTGGTGGATGCCAAGAATGCAACCTTATTTGATGTCCACCATGACAACAACAATCTGCTGCAACACCAAGAAGAAGATCCACATGTGAATGATTATTGGGAAATTGGATCAGTCGAGCCACCCATACAACAAGAACAGAACCTGCAAGAACAACCATATACTGACAGCGACAATGCAATGGCAAACACAACAACTAGCAATAGCAGCAACACCACCAGCCAGAACAATCCACAAGACAACTCTGGATCCACGCCAATGATGACGACGAATGATACCACTGCTTCCTCCTCCACTGGCAGCGTCGTCAAGAATCGCTTTGAACATGGATGTCTCTACGAGAAACTAGGCAAGGATCCCACAGTAGCGTACCAACAAAAGAAGCAACGAGTCTGCAATTCGGAAGATCCACCCGATGCAGTCCAACAAGGCATTTGTCGACAATCTCCCTTTCAAGATCACTACATGGAGATTCGAATCTTTTGTCAAGACTGGGAGAGCGTCTTGATCGAAACATGGGTGTTGCAAATCATCTTGTCGGAAATCATGAATGTCCCCACCACAGTCGAAACGGGCTTTTTCGATACCACTGTCAACTTTTACGATCCACAAGGACGGTACGATTATGCCTACCAGACCCTCTTGGATGTCTTTCATTCCACCTACCGACCTTCCATGGAACGAGGACACGAACTGGGAGATTGTCGTAGCGCCCGCAAGGATACGCGGGAGGACTATCAAGAATGTGCCCATGTCGTGCCCGAAATATGTGCGTCGGAAGAAAGTTCCGTCTTGGCGGATTACGTCTATCGGGGCATCTTTGATGCTCCTACGGGATTGGGAGCCTTGGGGATGGAAAGTTGGTTCATTCCCAAATTCACCGCCGAACGAGATCCGACATTGACCAGTTATCTGGGAATGGCGGGAGAACACAATCGACGCAAAATGGCAGAGATGTTCAAACGACCCGTCAATTGGAAAACGTACTGCGAGGAGGTGTCCACCACGCAGTGTACTGGCAACGACCCCGTGGCCGCTCGAGCTCCCAGTACGGAAGAAGAAGGGGAACGGTACTTTTTCGAGGGCGTATATACGGGATATTTCATGGCCACGGAAAAGAACGATTGCTCACGTGACAACGGGACAACGTGCACGGGACATATACTGGATTATCCTTGTTCCTGGCCTGCATTTGTGTGGGAACAAACGCAAGCCTTGAATATTGCGCTGGAAAGCAATGGTCCACAACCTGGCAATGGAGGATACCCATTGCAACAAATGGATGACATTTGGAGAGCTGCCAATGCCACCAAGAACAATGTCATTATGCAATGGTGGACTCCACAAGCTCTTCACCAACTGTTCCACGGGAGCGACGCCGAGTTTACAAAGGTCATGTTGCCAACACCGACCGAAGAATGTTTGCGCGCACGAGAAGAAGGGGGCGATCGTTGCGCGGCCGACTTTAAGACCACCACCAATCTGCAAAAGGGGACCTGCGATACTTTGACGGCCAGTTTGTACAAGATGAAGATTGCCAATCTGTTTGACATGACCTATGACACGTCCATCCCACCTGCGTTGCATAGTCCTAGCAACACAGTCCTGGAACTTTTTAGAATCTCAGAATATCAACTCACCGAAATCTTCAACAAGTGGAAAGAGTCGGGTGATCCGAGGGAAGCAGTGTGCGAGTTTGCAGTGGAGAACATGGATTACATGATGTCCTTTGTTCCAAACTCGTATCCGCGGACCCTCGAAACTGAGGCGGACCAAGGATTGCGGTATTCGGCAGCAGCGCTGGCTGGATTGGTCTTGTTGATGGCAATTGTCACGGCATGTCTTGTCTATCATTTTCGACGCAAGCGCAGTATCATGTTGGCGCAAGTCGAGTTTGTCGCGTTGCTTCTTGTGGGGACCATTTCCATCTCCACGGCGGCACTGATTATGGTCCTTACGGTATCCGATGCATCCTGTGTTGCTGTGGAATGGATCATCAACATTGGGTATACGGTGGAATTGGTGCCACTTCTGGTCAAGGCAGCTGCAATTTTGCGTCTTTCCATGGCAGCAAAGAAGATGCGCCGCGTCAATCTCTCCAGGGAGTCATTGCTAGGAGCCGTTGCCATCATTACTGTTCTTGTGGTTGTTTTTATGACAATTTGGACTGCCGTTGACCCGCCTCGGCAAGGCAATGAATACCAACTGACGGATGACCAGAACGAGGAAGGCGAAACTGTCATCGAAGTGTACGAAATCTGCAGAAGTGAATCCCAAGTTTGGTACTACATCAGCGTGGGGTGGATGACAGTGATCCTCTTGTCCGCAACTGTGCTTGCCATCCAAATGCGCAAGGTTCAAATCAAGGCGCTTCAAGAGGCAAGAACATTGGCTGCTTTGATCTATTCGCATGCAGTCTTCGTGCTCATCCGGCTTGTTACTTACTTTTTGGATTCGATGGTTCGGTACGTAAAACGACTTGGGGGATCCTGACGCGGAGAAGCTTGCACCGAGTCGAGTCTCATCTTTGCTTTATTCCAACCCATAGAGCGGATATTCTGACCCAACTGCGCAGTTTGATCTTCAGTTTCGATGCTCTAAGTACCGTCCTTATCTACGTGATCCCGAAATTCTTCGACTCAGATGCTAACCGGTCCGCAGTCCACACTTCCGGGATGGGTGCTGGGCCAAGCGCAGTAAGCTCACCGTTTGACAGATCTTATGCCGACGTCAATCGAAACACGACCGGTTCCAGGATATCAAGCAAAGAAGAGTCTAGAGTTGAAGCTGTGAACATGGAGATGGAGAATCTCAAGGCGATGCTGGCGGAGAAAGATCGTGAAATTGAAGAGCTCAGAATAGGCGCAAGCACTCGTAGCCATAGCAACCACCGGTAGGGCAGCGGAAGAGATTGGGGATGTGGGATGGTGTAAAAAAGAAAAGTTACGAAGCACTGCTGCCTGAAGCCGAATCTCCTGTCAGAGCGCCCGAACCTCACAAAGAGTGAAAACGCCCACGAGACTGTAACTTGAGTTAGACACTGGGTTTTTCGCATAGCCTGGTCCACTGGGAAGAAGAGCGGAGAGCGCTTTGAGATAACCACACGCAGACAAATGAGACGCAGTAGCAACGATCACCCCCAGACAATGCACTGTCGAGATGAGTTTACTAGGCATGCAGTGTACCGTACGTTGAGCGAAGAGTGCCACTGAATGATCGTACTACAGCGCAAACAGATTAAACGGTCCTGACGCTTAGCACCCAAAGTGCTACTTGTTTTGTTATTCGCTGTTTTATGTCATGTAATATTATCAAAAGGTCTAGCTACTATGCAAATACCGGTATCATTGTTTGTGTGTGTGTTTTTTCTCTCGTCTCGTTCAATTCTTCACGAGCTTTTTCAGTTTCTTGTTGCAAGTTCATTCATGTGTATTCATGGGGCATCTCTCTGCTTTAGTAAGCATTCTTTTTTGTGCCGCTGTAGTGCTCCTCCAGCACTTCAAAGAGACCGCTGACAATGGTCATGGCTTCTTCTTCGGAATGCCCCTCGTCCTCGTTGAGTCGCAACATGCGATCGACACCGGATATTTCCAATGCATGATGAATGAACTTGGTGGCCATGGAACTGCCGCCACACCGTTGACTGACAATGGAGACACTGGGTTCTACATTGTAAGTCTGATACCACCATCCCGGAGGGATCACAACCATGTCTCCCGGCAAAATGACGGTGCTGTGCCACATTCCATGATGAAACTTGTCCTCGTCCTGTCCTTCGAGGGGTATGGAAGGGATGAACATGGTTGGATCTTCGGCCCAATGCTGAAAGTGATTGTCGTAGCGATTGCGGTATTCTTCTGTTCCATGTGTCTTCATTTGATCCAATTCCCAATCAACATCACGATGACGGAATCGAAAGAGATCGTGTTTGGTATGGAAGCCTGTACTGATGGGAAATCCATAGCCCGATTCAATGTACATTGGTGCTGCACTAGATCGCATTGCGGGATTCGGTTGTTGTGTGAGTGGTGGAACAATGCGAATGAGTTGACTCCCATCAACACCTAGAATCATCTTTTGATAGGCATGACACTGCAAACACGGTGATGTGGATCCTGCTCCCGCTACCACTAGTGTATCGTGAACCTTGGCAAAATGAGAAAAGCACTTGATCCAATCCAATTTGTCTGCTTCGTCATCGTCAGCACCACTGGCAAAGAGTGCCTCCTTGAGTGGAAAGAAGGGAACCATCTCAGTAAAGGCATGAGAGGCCGTCTGGCGGACCGACGACAAGTAGACGGGATCATCGTGAGTGGAATTGTGGACTGCCACCTTGACCGCTTCCTTCAAGGGCATGGGCGTTTTGCTCTGATCCTTTTCGAACTGGGCCAAGATGGGCTCCTGCTTGGCACGATTCATAATGTTTGAAAGCCATTGTTCCATTTCGTCAGTACTCAATGTTTCTTCCACCACCACAGGAACATCTTCAAAGGCACTGGGAGCTTTGGCAAACTTGGCTCTTGATGCGCGAGTCATGTAGAAGGCGTTGACAGGGAGTCCCATCCACAAAAGCACAGCCAGTTTTGAATGAATCTTCATTGTGATAATCTTTTCTGCTGTTTGTGTGTTGTTACTTTTCTTCTGCTGCTATTCGAGTTTGTGTTGCTTGTTGTTGTGAGTTGTGTGTTACTAGCTACGGTGGCTGTGTACCTCCAAAATTGAAGAGAATGCAGCCATCACGCCATCAATCCCACACTCATCACCAACAGCTTCTCCCCCCGTCAACTCGATCTGCAAATCGTCATTTCAAAAAAGCAAAGAAGAACAGCCATCTGCCACCTTCCTCTCAGCGGCAGCCCTTCAACAAAATCTGTTCCTTCATTTATGAGCAAAAAAGGCTTCTGAAATCTGTTAATTAAACATCCTCGTCATTTCAGATGATGTCATCTGTGTTCTCAAACTAAGGAATATCAGAACTCTACCATTCAATACAAAAACTATCTCCTATTTGCTGCAGAAGCTGTCCTGATGTTTCTCTTTCCAAAAAGCAGCTGCTTCCACGCGTCTGTTTGGAAGAAGATCCTAATTCATTCATGCATCGTACGGAACCAGATCAACGGCACACAACATCATCACATCACATGCATCATGTGTATGTCCACGGTGCTGGGTGCTGTGAGGGTTCCCACGGTGGAAACAAGAGGAAGAGTAAACGGGGGTTTTGAGTACCCGTACATGTAGGAAGAGCTACCGAAGTGGAGCTCCATGCAGTACAGTCTGTATGTACCTAGCTAGAGGTACCGGTCCGAGCTGTTTCACAGTCACCCCGCATTGGAAGCAAACTTCCACCAAAAACTCCAAACAACTGAATGAATTGAATGAATCCCCAATGCACAGGTGCTACTCACGTCCCAACAAGTTGTTCCGGTTATGTGTTGGTTAAAACCTAGTCCACATTCAAGCAACTCAATGACAATTTCTAGGTTACCAAAGTTTCTATTATTTCCCAACAAGAGGACTGATCAAGAATTCGACGGACAGTCCTTTCTAGGTTCCCACCAAGAATGCTGATCAAGGATACGAAGGACAGTCCTTTTTGTTGGAACTATCTTTGAGTGGAATTGTGGTGTCCGAGCTAAAGACGTTGCATGGATCCACCCGTTCCTTTACGTCTTGGAGTGACATGAACGTGGCTCGGTCGGGGTAGAACTCTTTCCAAAGATCATCTTTCGTGGTCAAATCTTCGACGTCGGTGGTCCGGGTAGTCATCCAGAAGCCTTCGGTTCCACTGGGGTCGCGCCAGTAGCTTTCGGTGCTGTCTCGCAAGCCATTGACTCGTCCTCGGGCAACTTCTTCTTGATCATCGTCGAGAAAGAACACCCAGTCATCAAAGTGAATCTTCAAGTCTCGGAAAGGGAATGAGTTCAACCCAGTATTGCGATTGAACTGGCTACCATCCCCAGCTCCGCCGTAGCCTTGGAACTGCAACGACGAATAGAGATTGTCCATGGCGAGTCGGTCGTCCACTTCCGTGGCCACCATTTCCCAGTAGCTGGCATCAAGGCTATAGTCATCTGTGCTTATGCTAGCTACATGGTATCGGAACGGCTGCTGGTTGAAGTCAAAGGCAAACCCAGCCATCTGATTGTGGATAGGGACGGGTTGATTCAAGTTGATGATTGCAGGCTCTGCAATATCTCGGAAAGGTTGGATATATGTGGCATACTTCTCATTTGGGCTTTCGGCATCAAAGTTGTCAAAGAGAGGTCCGTTGTCCTTCCCCGTCCAAGAAACGATGAGCGTGATGTAATGCGTAAAATCTCCGCTGGTGGGGGCTTGCTCCCGGGGGGCGACAACCAGAAAAGGCATAGCGTCGTTGGCAATCTCCGGCATGCTGGCGATGTCCACATACTTCTGACCAAGGGCAACCAAAAGATCGTGGGTGTAAGGCCAAACAAAGGTGAAGCCAGCAGCATGTGGATAGTCGACAGACTTGATGGGTTCGACCGTATAGTCCAGAACAACACCCCAGCTCCCAGCACTGCTTTGTAGAGATCTGGGTTGCTGTCGGGGGTTACAGTCTGGATGGTTCCGTCAGCAGTGGCAATACGAAATGACCTGACCAGATCCATTCCCAACCCAAAGGAGCTAGCAAAGAATCCAAGACTTGAGGATTGGAGGTGGCCACCAAGTCCCACAGAGTTGCAGATGCCCATTGGGAGAACGAGACCAAGTGGGAAGAGATTCCATGTGACTTCGTCAACCTTGAGCCCAGCACCAAGAGTTGCGAGGTTACTATCGTCGTCGTACGAGAATGATTTGATCCCCGACACGTCAACTTGAATGCAGCGTGTTCCAGCTTCACACGAGGAGTAGCCTGAGTACTGGTGACCTCCACTTCGAACCGACAACTTGTAGCCACATTGGGAAGCGAAGTCGATGATGCTGAGGACCTCTTCATCACCGGTGCAGTAGACAATGGCCTCAGGACTCAACATGGCATCACTCATCGAAGTGGACCCCATACTGGAAGCCCACTGCTTGCGGGATTCGTCGTAGTAGCTTCCATCAGCAGGTGTAGCCACCGCACCAACAGGGATGTTGGTCACACCACACATGTCGTCGTCTGCAAGAGAACCATTGAGAGCCCATGAAGAGAGCGTGAGTAGGAATGCAAAGAGTTTCATTTGATAAGTTTTGGTTGGCAATGTTTGGTTGCAGACAGGATTTTGAAATTATGAGACTAATCTGAAGAGTGCGTCCCTCTGATCTGGTGGGAGGTTGGTGGGATCAGCAATGCCGCTTGTTGGTAAATCTTGCAAAGGCAGGAGTAGCAATTTTTAAATGAAACCAATGCAGCATTCCGAGCAGATCGGAAGCCACTGGTTCGTACCGGTACGGTACACATGTAATGCTACTGTATGTAATGGAGTAATGGAGTTTCTTGTTATGGCCGCGAGAATGTCAGTGGATCCTTGTCGGAAAATGCAATAAGTGTTATCCAACCAGCAGGGGTAACACGTTCAAGCGACAAGCGACGATGCCAGGGTCTTCCAATCAATGGATGTGGATGAAGTGTGAAGTGTGGTACTGGCACTCACACACGTTCAAGTCAGAGCGCCAAAGGGGAAGTTGGAAGTTGCAGGACCAGCACCTCGTATTATTGTAGTCCCGAGGAGTCCGTACACTCCTCCCTTGATATTAAGATGTCTCTAAGTTCATTTGAACCCTGAAGGCATCTTAGGCTCTGTCCCAACAACTATTTTTCAGGTCGGGAAATTGGACTTTGGGCAGGCTAAACTGAAAAGCAATGTGGCCTCCCCCCAAATCCTCTTCCAACTTCTTTTTTTCAGATCCAAATTTGGATGGTTTGCTGCGAGTGGCTGTGGCAGCTGCTGGGCCTGCTGGCTTGAGTGTAATTAACATACTTGAAGTTAAACTTGAAGTTGAGTACCGGTTCGTTGACACAGAATTCCTGTTAGATTCAAATCGACCAATCAAATCGAACACCCAGTCAAAAACCGAAATCGGCTCTGCGCAAACCAACTCAAAATTGATTTGCACAAACCCGAATTGGCTCCAATTTGGGAGGAGGGCAAAGGCCTGTTTGGGGGAAGCCAGCAGACCAAGGCCAAACCGAAGGCCCTAAAGTCCAATTTCCCAACCCCAAAAAGAGTTGTTGGGACAGGGCCTTAGCAAAAACTCAAATATCTGCACTGAGAATCTTCTTAGCATTTGTTAAAATTCAGGGTCCAAAGGCAACATCTTAGCTTTCTTGTCATTTCTATTGACCATACTATTAGTATGGTACATACCAAACTTGCAACTCTGCTTCCCACCTTACTGAACATACCCCAAGGAGAAGAGAGGAAAGAGCAGTGTATCATCCGCCGGAGGCGAAACTTTTGACTTTTGGTACCTGTTTTTAAGGCATTTTAATTGTAGAAAAGTGTCATTTTATCATCGGTCAATCTCTTATGTGCCCAAGGGAGAGTGCTTACTGGCTATCTTATCTCTAGTGCAGATCTGAGTGTCTCAAGTATCTTAACATTCCAGCAAACCTCAGCACTCGACATGTTATCTCGGACTCTCTTTTAATGTCAAGGGAGGCATGTAGTACTCGTATCGTATAGTCTAGGAACCAGGAGCGTCGCCGTTGTGGTCGCGGAAAAAGGGGAAGTTGCGACCTCGCACATGTTTAAATGTGCAGCTTCGCCGACAATACGACTGCGAGTTTTACGTGTGTACCGGTATGAGTGCTCCCACGTCCTACAGTATCTTTATCTACATGTACCTTTGTAACAAGCCACAGACAGTGGCACGTACTGTACCAGGTACCATGTTCAAGGGACAAAGCCAGGGTCTTACAATTAATTGATGTCGATGAAGTACTGGCACTCTTGTTCAACTCTGAGAGCAGTCACGTCTAAGCATGACGAACGGATCAAAAACAAAGGGGGAAATTGCAAGTACTGTACCTTTAGGAGATACCAACCAGCGTCTCTGGTGTACCACATGTGGTCGAAGCAAAATGCTTGAGTCGAGCCACACATGGCCACACCCGACTGCTCTGGCACTTGCGACGCTGCGAAATTCGTGAGGTCTTTGGAACCTCTTTACCTGGGCAGTCTTGCTGCCAGAGCTCTCGCCCCCTTTCCTCGGCAGAGCGGGGCTCGAGAGAAAGCGAGGCAACGCCAGGAACTCGTACTGCTGGTAACTTTCAGTTGCGGGGACCGTTGCTAGCTAGATGGTGCAGTCTTCCTTCTTTACGGAACGCCGCACTCATACCTGGTCACCTTCAGTGGTTAGCTAGCTCATGGCTGAAGCCGTGGAAAACTGCCATGCAATTTCTTCATGGCCTGTGTACGAGCCATCACCAGTCAAGTATGGAGCACATTTCTAATACGGAACCGGTGCGCCCAATTCCGCTAAGATTCCAGGATAGTCAGCATCTTCAAATGTGGCATGCAGGGTCTCCAGAGGTGGAGCGCACGGAGCAAAGATCCAAGCTCAGCGGGTATGAACGATAGTTCGTGACGGTCTTCGTCAAGTCTACGGATCGATCGGAAAAGCGAATGCCAGAGCAATACATCTGGTGCTTGAAAGTCTTGAAGTGTGCACTGTCCCACCTTCGATGGGCACTGTGAGATTGGCTTTGGGTCCAGTGCCAGTGGTGTGGTGCACATGAAATTACGTCTCCTCGAGACGACGCTCCTTTTAGATTCCCCCTCAGTTGCACTCCGAAACCGATTCGCTCGCGTTTACTGTGTAAAATAGTGTACCCGCACTTCAGTTGCAGAATCAACGGTCATGTGTATCCGTAAGTACCAAACCTGTATTTAACGGGTTTTAACGTCTGTACAGGTGTGTGCGTGCACATACGGTAACGCGACCGTAACCGCGACCGGTACCGGTACCGGTACCGTCACCGAAACCGTTAACGTACCAGT